AGCACCGGTTTCTTTCAGACCCGTTCCAATTGATCAGTCATGATCTGCGGCCCAGCGTCGCAAAAACACAGGCCTATTGCCGTGGGCTGCACCTGACTGGCGCCGAGGGAAGGGGGCAACCGGCCAATGCGAATAAGGAAAAACAAGCTGCAGATGCAGATCTGGGTTCGAAGCCAGTGAAATGCCTTATGACGACGGCTGGTGAAAGTTGCCTACACCCGTGACTCCACCCGTTGCTACTTGTTGTGACACGCAACCGGATCACGATTGGGATAAAGGTGGCCACAGGGCGGCCACTAACCTGTGTCACCGTACATCTATACATGTTCTTCTTTGTGACGTGCAGGCTGCCTACTTGCAGATGCTGCCTGTCCTTTCAACCGTTCCAGTCTGATCGTCGGCAACAAACCCGACATCGGCAATAATAATAATAATAATAATAACAACACTGCGACTTGTAGACCCATTGTCAGGCGACAGTACAACAGCCGTTGCTAGGGAACGGTTCTGGGGACACATCTCCCCTGCGACGAGAGAATTCGCAGTAATGGAAGAGACATTTTCGGTGCGATCCGTGGCGGGGCTGTATAACGAGGACTAGTGGTTCAGTTGAGGTTGACGCCACGCGGAAGCGGGTTCGAGTACATCCACCGGTAGCCCTGCGAGTCCTAGGGGGTATAACCGGGTCACCCTGTTCCTGGGGGATATAATTACGGGGACCTAGGCTTCCTGGTTGGGTGAGTCTCGAATCTGAGACAGTAAAACATGGTCATGAGTCACGCGGTACAAGGACCCGAGAATTATAGAGCTAGCGAGGACCAGCGGCAATTGTAAACGAAAGACCCATCCTCTCGTCAGAGAGGGCGCCCCACATCAACAATCCCATAACTGTCTGACAGTAATAAGAATACGGTCTTGGGCCCCAGATGGGGTGCTTGACACGAAGACAGACATGTCGACTGACCGTCGGTGGTAACATAACTTTGACTTTACGTTGATTTTGAATCTGAATTGCGGGTTGAGTCGAGTGAGAGTTGCAGTTGTGTGAAGTGAGATTGTCGTAGTTATTTGCAGTTACGAGTAAAAGTGCCCCGTAAGTCCACATACCAACCCAAACCCCGTCTCTAGGCACTCAGTGACGTGACAGTACGCAATGCCACGTGCACTGCGCACTTTTCTGCGCGCACAGTATGCCCGTAGTGTGTGGATGTGCACAGTATCCCCGTAACGTGTGGATGCGCATTTTTGGACGCACTATAGCGGTTGTGCGCTAGGCCAGCGATTGTAATATTGGCTCCGTGACAAAACGTAATGAGTCTTCGCTTTCGGTCTAAGGGTAATGACACTGTGGGTCACAATTTGCGCTGTGGCTACTCGGATAATGCGGGGTTGTCCATTCTTTCTGAGGAAGCACCGCTGAACCAACTGACTACGTCCACTCTTCAAATTATCACGACAGAGAATGCACAGGGTCCATAGTGACCTGGACGCCGTGACAGCGCGGATATACTCGTGCTGAAACTGCGGTGCAAAAAACATAGAAACACCGACCCCTCCTTCGTCGAAGAGGAGGCTCCATTTCTAAACACGTACATGTCCAGGAGAGAATAGAAATCTTGGTCATGGAGCCAGGAATGACTGTGCTGGCGAAGGCCAGCAGCAATTTAATGAACCGGCCAACCGACCGAGTTAGTTGAGTTGAGTTTAGTTGAGTTGAATCGAGTCAGTCAGTCAGTCAGTAAATCAGTTAGAGGACTGATGGAGTTCCGTCGTTATGGGCTGTTGCTTTGAGAACTGGTAGCTGAGGCCAAGGACAGTTCGAAAATCTAAAGAATGAGGAACGTCCGCCATTGGAAGCCGCTGCAAAGCAACGGCTATTGAAGACTGGGAAGACTTTATATGTGCTATAATTACAGAGATCTTAGAAGTGTGTAACTCAGTGAGACTGTCGTAGTTGTTTGTAGTTACATTTTGTAAGAGTGCTGTAAATCGGATTGACAATTCAAACCCCGCCTGTAGCCATAAGATCACGTGACTTACTCACCAGTCCCACAGCTCGAGGCCGTATGGTCTGAGCTAACAGCATCATTGAATGAACCGAGAATAAACAAACAAACAAACAAACGGGCCATGTCCCGCTGTGTGTGTGTCTGTTCATGGATACACATTTCCCAGGACCTGAGTGTACTCAGCTGCTAAAGAGAGAGAGAGAGAATACAACAGTTTCGTGCACTGAAATTATTTAGGACCTGAGCAGTGTTCACTAGCCTGGGTGTTCAAGGCAGATGAATTCACCTCAGGTAGTATGTTTCGAAAGAAGGAAGAGTAGGTAAAGAGAGGAAGCCATAGGAGAAGCAAACTTTATAAGTGGGGCTTTTGGAGTAGTAAGAGGTTGAGGCTTCTGAGAAGAACCGCAGGATTCTGATATTCAAATTAATTTTTTATATCACATTTCGGAATGATAATTTGGGGAGAGCGGCCTTCAGACAAAAGGGTTTAATCTCGATTATTTAAATCAGGAGGGCCTCAATAGCAACATACCAGCCTCGGGCCTGGTCGTGAAAATTGCTGCTGGTCTTCGCCAGCACGGTCATTGTTGATTTCAGGTCCTTACACAAGCCTGGACGGAGCTTCTTGGCGAACAGGGGCAGCCTCATGGGATCCCATCGGTTGCCAAAGAGCGCATTAGTTTCCGGCCGGAGTTTCACTTCCAGGGCAACTTGCAACCGCCATTGTTCGCTGCTCACAATGGCATCCGTCCCCCTGAGAACCCTAATTGAATTAAGTCTTGTATAAATTTCAAATTGCTGTATCCGATTTCTATTGTTCCCTTATCAATGTGGGTTATCTCACATGTGGAGATTCTCATGGATACTAATAGCCGTGACAGGCGGCAACTTCTCTAACATCTGTGTGAAGCGGGTCAGCATACATGGGTCTTGTAGGCGGGTTGTGTTTTCAGATGAAAATAATCATTGGATCCTTTCATGTACAGCAGGCAGTGCAAAGTCCGTTTTAATATCATCCTGTCATCTACGCCAGGGTGTACCAAGTGGCATCGTCTTTCCGGGTTTTCGGAAAAGGCTTTTGTATGAATTTCTCATCTCGCGTGCGTGCTGCATGTCCCGGATATCTCGTTTCTCCCGGTCTGATCACGCGGATGATACGAGCGGAGCACTGGTTACGAAGTATTGTCCGGTCTCCTGGGTGCAAGGCCAAAACACAGAATATTCGCCAACAGAAGTGAACAATTTCACGCGCTCAGAGCCGATTTCATTGCTGTTACCTTCCCAACTTCACCTAGGTTAGCCATTAGCTCCAGCCAAGAGTGTGTACTCGCGTATTGTTTTCTGGATTCTTGGCGGATATTCTGAACTCCATGAATGTAACACTTTCGAAACATAGTAGTAACTGTATCATCATCATCATCATTGGCAGAACAGCATCTTTGAGCCATGGCCTTCCTTAGAGGATTCTCCAAGGTTGCATCCGGTTTTCGCTTCCTTGGAATTTATAACGCCATTTTTTCACACGGCAAGGTCTTCAACCCTGCGTCCAACCCCCAACCTGGAGGGCCAGGTCTCTGTATTTACATCCCCCGGAACAGGGTGGCTCAGTTATACCCCCAGGCACTGGATTCCCTTTTCGTCTCCCCCTGCGACTCGCATGGCTACGGTGGAGTTATTCTACCTCACCTCCACGCGAGAAGGTAGCCATATATACCGCATGCTTTAATACTGTGACACGTAGACCCATTGCCAAGTAACAGCTTTGTAATAAGGCGAGGATACAACAGCAGTCGCTAGGGAACACTCTTGTGGACACGGCGTTTCCGCGGCAACTAGACAACTCGCCAGAATGGAAGAGATGTTTTCTGTGAAGTCGGCACGGGTCTATATAACGAGAATTACTGAGCTTCGGACTGGATCTGTATGGAACCGTGAGGTGCACGTTGCCTTCGGGCGTCAGAGGGATGAACAAGCTTTAACTTGAACCCTCGCTAATCCGGTTTCAGTTAATCCGGATCGAAACATGGAAAAAGCTGTTCACAGTTGAGTACATACTTCAAAGGATACGTGGCATTTAGGAAGGCAGATGAGCCACTTGTCTCTTCAGACCTGCATCATTACGTCCAGAAACAAGTACAGCTTCTGAGTCTTCTATCGGTGGATAATTGCGTCGTGTTTTTATAGTTCCTAAATAAAGGCCGTACAGCGATTTTTGTTATTCATTTCCATCAGCATATCACTCAATTTGCCATTTATTTGTGGTGCAAGTATTTGGTTTTGTAGGGCAACTTTTGTTTCACTAATCCGGTTAGCCCCCTCCCCATTACTCCGGATTACCGAGGGTTTGCTGTATAGTAACGAAACTCTGCCATAACCGCTAGGCGAGTAGAGCTCGGCAGAGATTAACAAAAGGATCCGTCCACAGAGCACGTTTCTTCGCTTGGGCAATGTAGGCGTGACTAACAGACGCGATACGACACGTAACGATGCCTCAGTGACGCAACACACATTCAGTCCGTTCGCGCACCGTCGCCGACCTTCGTCCATTCATCGTGTTGCCATTTGTTCAGACGCATAACCGGAAGTGGGGAGAGTTCTGTTATTCTGAGAATGCGGGGTCTAATCAAGCTATACAGGCAAGGTCATCATGATCTACATGGTAAGCTGAAGCGTGACGCCTTGTAGTCTGGTAGATTGTAACAACTCTCCTGAACTGCGTCGTAACTTTTTTTCCGAATTCTGCCCAGTTCATCAGTCAGTCATCCAGCACTGTGTGGTTGCGATGTACACAGGGGGCTGCGATATACAGACGACAGACCCGTCCTCTCGTCAGTTAAGACCGTCAGAATACGTAGAGCTGTGTCTCCATTCACCGATACGCCTTTATGCCGTGGGTGTTAATAAGGGCAGGAATATCTTCGCCTTCAGAATTATAGTTTGGGCTGCGTGTTCAGAGCTGTTTCATTCAGCCTTCACTCTTCTCTGTTTCAGAAACTCTGTGAGGTGCAGCAGAAGCCGGGCGTCACCAATGACTTCTCCATGAGTGCAAACAGTACCCGATAAGAACTGCCAACTTGACGTTGTCACTCGTTTGAAGTTCCCCACTGTGAGACCTGACCGTCGCCCTGGACACCAACGAGGAGAACATGAGTGGCTCGAGTGGGGGCAGCACCATCTCGCTCTCAGACGGCGCCCCCAGCGTCACAACAAACATCATGAGGCCGCAGGAGCCGCCGCCCCCAACACCTGTCCAGGACAACCAGCACCACAACCCTGACCAGTCGCCAGAGTCATCACCGGCGGCCAACAAGAGAAACAGCACCGTGATGATGATCACAGATCAGGACAAGAGTAGGGGGAGAACTGCCGGGATCGACAACCCGGGGTTCGAAGAAGATGGTGAACAGGCCGCGACGATCGGCAACGGAGGCAGCGTGACTGTCCCTTCGAACGGAAGCACTTCCTCCTTCCTGGACACGAGCATGCTGACGGAAATGAAGGACGTCGACAAGAAGAGGGACAAGGAGGTTGCCGAGGCGGTGAACCTGGAGCTGGTCAGCATGAACCCTTTCTCGACGACGCTGGAGACGAACGGCGTCAACGGCATTCCAGTGAAGAAGGACGGCGAGCAGGCCGCTGTGGGCGACGGCTACGCGGACCCCTACGACGAGTACTTTGTGCCAGTGAACGAGCACCGCAAATACATGAGGTGGGTTTGTTTGTGTTACAGTTAGCGATGCTGGCAGACGTCAGTTCGGACGGCCGCTTCCCACACAGCGCGCTCTTTGTTTCTGATCCATTAGTAAAACCAATGGAAAGGGATAATCGCACGACCGGTTGAACAGCCGCATGCGGCTCGCAAGCCACAGTTTGGTGAATAATGAATTGTGTGAGTTGTGGAGGAGAGTGGTCTTGACCTAACTCTAAGTACTATCCCAGTATTCCCCCGGGGGGCAGGTTGACTCCATGAAGCATGTTAGGATAATCGGTCTCCGGGCTGTAATTTGAACCCCGATCTTCCGGAATACGGAGCAGAACATCTAACGACTCTTGACCTTGACGCTAGATGGAGGTGAGTGGTCAGCTTCACCCCATTGCCTCTTTATTCCCGAGGTACCCACTGGATTGGAGCCTGGGTGGGCCCCAGAGCCGATCTGGACGCTGTGGAGAAGAGAAAGATGCTGCCCCTACCAGGAATCAAACTCCGACTGTCGAGCCCAATGCTAAATTACGTACAAGTAACAAAGCAATAAGCTTTAAAGGTAAGGGTAAAGCCGGCCTTGTAACAAGGCCAATGATGTTGTGAGACGTCGAGGCTCCCACTTTTTCTATATAATCAGCCGCACTTTATCTCCAGCAAGATTCCTGCTAATCACTTCTGTTAGAGTCTGAGTCGACCCGTGGCCAATTGAAAAATCCAATGACCTCATCGGGAATCGAACCCGCGACCTTCCGGGTTGTAGCATACTGCCTCAATCAAACTACGCTTCCTCTTGCCCTCCAGGCTGTGAGGATGTGGGCTCAATTTATACGAACCAAGACAAGGGCGCGGTGGTAGGGTTTTGTGAACACGGTAACGAACCTTCGAAGTTCGATAAAGAGGGATGAATTTGTTGAGCTGGTGAGCGACTGTAAGCTTCCAAAGAAACACTCCTCTCCGCTGGGATAATTGTGTGAACAGAAATGTTGGCAGAAAGGACCAGAGATGAACGCAGTGGCACCTGTGCGGACCCCCCACACAGCAAACGCAATTACGTGCACTTCCCTAGCGCGGCTCTGTGAGCTACGGACTGGCTTCTGTTGCTTTCGCTCCGAATTTATGCAGAAGCGTCCCTAGCTGTTGTTATATATTCTGGGATACATCGCCCTGTAGTTCGGTGAAGGTTAACAGACGTTTCGGAGGAACATGGCCTCCATGTTAAGCGAAGTAAAAAGCGAGAATGGTTCTGCTTGCAGCCTTCTCCAAGCTGGCCTCTTGTTTGGCTTGAAGCACCCGAAGAATGGGGAGGCTATGCTTCTCCGAGAACGCGGGTTCACTTTCACCGGCCTACCCGACATTATGCAAGCTGTGATATCCCACAGTCTTACGGCACTCCGTCCACCAGTTCTACATGGCGCAGCGCGAAGGCTGTTTCTCAACCTCTCGTTGCGAATGCGCTAACAATGTTCACAGTTGACCAGTGCCGCACGCTGGTTGCTAGGCAACAAGTGCATGTTGCTATGGCGGTAGATACAGGAGCAGCCTGCAGCTGCTGGGGCCAACTGCTTTATGTTAGGGGCATGGGCCCCTCTGCCGGTCCTAGTGAACGTACGGAGTCCACCATCCACGGCCCATGTCGGTTGGCTCTGTGAACTAGATGTGCCAGGTTCAGTTCCACAACACGCCACAGACAATTATGGGATGCATCCAGATTCCTGTGCACGGGATACTGGCAGATTTATCCTCGATGAAAGCGGACAGAGCACGAAACTAGCTCATTCGTCGTTACATCCAAGCAAACTGCATGCCTACAGCTTTGGTTCTCATGCCTCAGCAAAGGACCAGGTTAATCGAGATTTATATCGAAGCAAATCGTCCGTATTTATGTTCGTGTGCCAGTTTCCGCTCATGTCAGTGTCTCTTGATTTTTGTTGTTCGCTTTTGTTCTTCACTTTATCGCCTGCTTTGTTTTGTATTACATTTTCACGGTTTATTTGTATACTGAATTGGAAGGGATGCTGAAAGAAGGTGCCAAAACTTAGTTTGAGATAGTGTTCGGGAGATTTTCCTGGGGGACTGAGAAAGACCAGTGAGGATTTTCTGGTCTCAGGGCTGAAATTTGAATGCAGGACCCCTCTCCCAATACGAAGCAGGACTGCCACTGTTCAGAGGCTTCTTTCATGTGCTCCCTCACAAGATTCTTTGCTTTGCATATTATATTTAAAAATTTAAAATTGGTAGCACTTCTGTAATCTTAGGAACGTGGCAGTTCAACTTCAACCCATACACAAACAATTTTGCTTTTTCTCTCAACGATACATTCGTAAAAATAAATTGAAATATTCTAAAAGGACTTCGCAGAATTATTGCAAAAGTCCATCTAGGCAATAATGTTTCCCCCCGATAGATGCACACAATTTTAACACCGATTCAGTAAGGACTTGCACAACAGTCAGAGTATCTGACGCAACAAAGGAGGCTTGAGAGAATTACAAGAAGTGCAAGTTATTCCAGGCGTGGCCGATAACTGTGTACCAGCTCCTCCCATCTTTTATTTCTGTATGGCTTATTTAACAGCGATTGTGACGGCCGTGCCCTTGTCGCGTCAGTGGCGGCCAGCATCCCTGGCCTTAGCTTGGGCCGGTTCCACTCGTCTCTTTTGCTCAGCAACAGGCCTTCGAGACACCTGCGCGTACCGAGGTGCGCGGGAGATCCGACCGCCCCCCCCCCTCGTGATCCAGAAACCGATTTCATGCGAGAGCCCTGTTGATCCGTAAGATTGTAAGTTCGTATCTCGGTCAGATCATATCAGTGTGTGACGTCTTCATGCTTTCTCCTTTCTAATGTCGAACAAAACGGGTCACGAAGCGCACACAGCACCACCGCCATTGTCCCGCAGGATAGAGGCCGCCATTTGCAAAAGTTTGCTTGTTTGTCTGAGCTTCGCTTTCTCGCTTACAAAAGTTACCTATCGTCGATTGGAAGGATCATTAGAAAGGCCATAGAAGGAAGTGGTCGTGGCCTACTTCCAGAATACTAGTCTCTCTCCCTCTCCTTCCCTCCTACCGTCTGCAAAATAAACCGACGTATTCAAGACATGCAAAGAATGTTACCGTTTTCTCGGAAATCCGCCGTGGCAGCGCATTTCTCAGAAACGTCGGCAAACTTCTGCCACAGTACCCTGCACCACATCCCAGCTGTGAGAATCTCAGTTCTCACATGTGAAGACATGAAACGATCAATTTACCTGTGGTTCTGTATGGGTGTGAAACTTGGTCTCTGGCATTAAGGGAGGAACACATACTGAGTGAGGGTAGTGGAGAACAGAGTGCTTGGGGGTTGTTTGGACCTGAGGGGGAGGAAATGGCAGGAAGATGAAAATTACACTTGTGCTGTTCGCCAAGTGTGATTGGGGGGGAGGGGGGGTTGCGAGAAATGCCTACAGATTTTATTCTAAAATAGGAAGGAAAGAGATCACTATGAAGACCTAGGCGTAAATGGGATGTTAGTCTTTCTTATTTTTCAATTCGTGTGGTAGGGTGAGACTGAGTTCACTTGCTATCCCGGCCTTTCGCCGTGACTCTCCTGTACAGCCCCGGATGGCAGACGAGTGTAGAGCCGGTGCAGGAATGGGAATTGACAGGGGAAACCGTAGTACACGGAGAAACCCTGCCCAAATTTAACTTTGTATACCACAAATCTCACATGATCTGTCGTGGAATCTAACCAGTGCAGACTCGGAAGAAGGCTGGCGACTGATCGTTTGAGCTATACGAGTATGGTACGACTGAGAATAATATTAAAACGGAATAGAAAGAAACAGGATGTGAGGATGTGGACTGGGTTCGTCTGGCTCGGGATAGGGACAAATGGCGAGCTTTTGTAAACACGTTAATGAATTTTCAGGTTTCAAAAAGGTGGGTAATTTACTAAGCAGCTAAGCGACTATCAGCTTTTTAAGTTGGGCTGTTTCAATTAAGTCATATATACAGCTTAGAAGTGCATCATTTAAGGCGCTATCTGGGAATTTGTATGGAGAGGCTGAGGGAAGTCGGGGCAGAGAGTTGAACCCGCAACCCCCGTAATACGGAGCAGGACTGCTTGCATGACAGCAACGTTTCGTATAAATGATACTACTTTTGCAGTGACTGTCTATGGGCTGGATGACAAAGGAAGCGTGGTTCGAGTTCAGGCAGGAGTAAGAATTTTTCCTCGCCACCTTCCAAGCCTGACTCTGGGGCCCACTCTGCGCCTTTGCGATGGGTACGAGGGTTCATTTCCCGGAGTAAAGGGCAAGTGGACGTTTGAGTCATTCTGCAAGATGGTGGGTCAAAAAGAGTGCTCCCCTGGGCTAGCGACGACCTCCTTCCCGATCTCGGTCAGCAGGTGGCGGGCAGACGGCTTGCCATTGCGCATGTCTGGAACATAAGGTCCCGCATGGGCAGACTTGATGTGTTCCGTCAAGTTTACACACAGGTTTCAGCGTCACATTTACATCGCCAGTTTCAGACGTGAGAGAGAAATTGGGGGGAGGGGGGTGTACCAAGCCGACGACCCATGAAAATTATCCGGGGCTTGAGTAATGCTCATAAGCCTGGGTGATCGAGGGAAAAATTTGATAAAATATTAGGGTTTTTTCTTTTTCAACCATCGTAGATGAGGGCCGCTAATTTTGCCTTTCTGATACAAATTCGGCCTGTACCTCACAGGAAATATTACGTCTCCGCTACAAAGCCCAACCTGTTAATGCTGTTTAGGGAAACAGTCGCTGTTTACTGTGAGAGCCATACGGAACACACAGATACACTCTGTGGGCAGAATGCAGAGTTTTGGTATGTTAGTGTTACATACAGTTACACTATGCTTTAAATAGTTAAATCAGTTACACTGCTCTCTGAAACTGCATGCCTTTCTTTCTTCCAGCTGCAAAAGTAGACATTGATTTATCAGATGTTTAGGTCACGAGGCGTTCTACGTTAGAGTGACTGCGAATGATAACTTTCTAGGCCAGTGGCTAGTGTTCCTGCTTCGCATTTGAGAGATACCGGGTTCAAATCTCGGTCCGGTCTGTGTTTTTACGTTGTTTTCCCTGACCCTACAGGCAAATTCCGGCGTAATACCTTAAATTAGGTCACGAACGCTTCCGTTCGCATCTTCTGTCATTCATTTTTCACTAATCGTCGTACCGGTTGACTCTATGTAATCTGAGCAATCGGAAAACAAAGTTGTAACAGAATTACATGTTCTCCTCAGCATCGCCTTCTGAAACACCCTCAATTTATGCTGTTCCCCGAAGATGAGGGGCCAAGTTTCACTCCCATAAAGAACAAGAGGTGAATTACAATTTTTCTTATCCAGTCCAATGACGTATTCGTGCCGTCTAAGATTTAATGGAATCTTTCTTACAGATAGAAGTGACCGCGAATGGTAAATATTTTTCTGTTCAGTTGTGGGAAGGCCCCTTCGGCCGGGGGCACGGGAACTGTGGTCCCTAGGACTGGGCCGCACGGCCTCAACTCTAGTGTCCTCCATCTTGCACAAACACGCACTCTTGTCCACAGTTGTCCCAATGGGGTCTCTGAGGACGAATCCCCATTGTCATCACGGCCTCCGCGGTCTATAACGTTCGTCCTCCCCCCGAACGACAAAGAAGCAACAAGTTCTGGGATCGACAGATCTGGGCTGTCTGTGAGCCCGCCCCTGGAAGGGCTCGTCGATTACCGTGATTGGATGCAAGTGGCAGTGAGGTTAGACAGGCTTCATATCATTCAAAATTTAATTGCACGGTGGTATTGGGAAAGGGGGCCTCCCTTCCGCCTCAGTTCTGCTTTGGAAAATGGGTCAATGGCAATATCATCCTGCCCATAACCTCAATCTTCCTGCTCAAGATCTTGTGTAAAAGCTTCCAGAGGTGTGAAATTTAGCAGTGGCTTCTCGTTTCTACGCCCAAATTGTTTACACGAATTAGAGGTAGGGTTCGTAAGTTAAAACATCCCGAGCACTAACAAATGTTGTCAGCGATGTATCACAACAGTAACTAAGTGTCAGTATATTTTCTGTTGGCCTATTTTATATATCCAAAGCCACTGTCGCCTGTTAACATAACTTCTTATAATATCAGTGCCCGTGGTTTTGAAAGATCATTGAATTCCTACACAATGCGGTTTTGACATATTCGTTTCTACAGGAATAGAAATTCGCCGTGTTGTTTAAATGTTCCGCCTTGTATGATGTAATCACGCCTGCATTATTACGTCATTGCTATTTTTTGTGACATAACCTAGCAGTTTTATGAACTGTTACATTTCAGTATAATTATCACAAGATCTTGAAGGATAATTGCTGATACCCCATTCAGGTTTGAACATGGATATAAGACAGTGTTTAGATGAAACATGACCTCCTTTGTTGTTCATCTTGTTTGAATGCATGGCTCTGTGTTGTGCCTGAGAAGGAAGGCGCTGGAATTAGACACTAACATCTGCATGTTTTATGCTTTTCTCAGTGAATTACATTGTTTAATTTGTTTGAAAATGTATTTCTGTACACATGTAAGTGAGTCCGTTTATTGTTGGACAAGGAATTGTATTATTGTTACACATGAGTGGGTCACATAAAGATTTTGGAACTCTTGTGATATTAGATTAAGTTTTTCAGGGACCACATTTTGTCAGTCATGATCCCATTGGTCTGTGAAGATTTTATGGGACGCTTAATGGACTGGTGTGAGAGCGGTTCTTATCCCTAAGATCAGTATTGAAGTTTGTGATTTCTGCGTTTCATCAGGTACTGTAAGGGTATTTCCGCCAAGGAACGATAGACAAGACATGGGGCAAACAAAAATTTGCAGTCACTTGGAAGGCAAAGAAGTTTGTGGGAGGATAGTCAGCTGTATTTTAGGAAACTAGATTGCAAGGATGTGAAAAGACCTGAGATCCATTACAATAAATAGTGTTACTGTTGTTGAATCTTTAGGATCTGAAGCCATAGTGTCTGTCAGTTAGACAGTTCCCCCTCCCCCGCCCAGATATCACGTGTTATATATTTTGAAATAGGAAACCTGTCAGTTGTACATTGTGGAAATTAAATAAAAATAAATGCAAATGTTGAGTTGCCTCTGTGTTTAGTTACACACCACACCCTGAAGTTGTACAGGGACTGGTGCCATTTAGTCTTGATTCCAGAAGGAGGTAAATGGTCAGCTTAACGCCCCAGTCACTTTGCCCCTTGGAGAAATATCATGTAGTGCCCACTGGATGGCCAGCAAGCCAGGTCTGGACACTGTGGAGAGGAGAAAACCTGTGCCTGCCCTGGGAACTAAACCCAGGTCTTGTAGTCCATCCCATAGACAATAGACTGGCTGAGCAGTCCTGGCCCTGATTAAAACTATTTATTTATTTATGTTCAGGAAATGCATTTAGCTATTTCTAACATAATCAAAACTGTTATTATACAGGATGTCCCAGGAGGAAAGGTCAGTATTCTGGTAGGTCCAAGTATCGGTCATTCTAAGCAAAGAATGTCCTGTTCCGAACAGTTTCTGTTCCAAAGCTGTTGATAAGAAAGATATTTTATGTACTGTTTCTAATACCGGTAATTATTTTTCAAGTGGCTAAGTTGGTACAATTCTTTATTGGGGTCCATCGTAACCAACCACATAATGGTCAAGGTCAGTATCACATCAGCTACGTGTTTTGGCTTTTAAAGCCATCATCAGGCAAAACACATGGTCACTATATTCACCCACTCTTGAACTGCAGTTCAGTTTACCGGGTACAATACATTTTAAAAAATTACACTGTCAACATGAATGTACTTTGCAACTCGTGCGAGGGCACGGAGTGGTGCTTGTCTGTACAGTATATCTTGACATTTCTTTGTGCGGGCGATGTCATCCATAGTTCTATCTTGGAAACCGTTAGGAAAAGGACGCATATACATAAACACATTTTTGCTTAGAATGACTGACAACATGACCATGCGGAATATTGACTTTCTTTCCTGGGACACTCTGTATTTATTAGATGTTGATTTGCAGAAAAGATGGAGGAGAATTTCATTTACAATTTGCTCTTCATTTTACACTTAGTACATTAGTTTTGCGCTGTAGTGTAAATTGTTTTTCATATCTCGTATTACCATTTATATTGATTCTTCCTCTGGGTCTTTACATCATGTGGCTGTGGACAGTGTGCCCATCATTTTGGAGCTACATGCTGTCTCCATCTTCAAGTCTGAATATATATACAAATTCATGCACCCTGCTCTGACCCTAAGGGTGGTGGCTACATGTACATCTCAACAGCATCCACAGTGTGTAGGGCCCTAGGAGCTGACTCATTATGAACAGCACACTGTTGTGACAGCCTAAGATATTTGCATTTCCATGTGCAATATGCATTGGAAGAACTGTGTTGTGTTGCCTTCACATTGTTAAATGGCTGCTGCTTCAACAACTGGTCCAATGGTCAGCTACATTTCAGTCAAATCTTTATATGTATTAAATATGCTATGTCATTTCAGTCCTTTGGCTGATATTGCTGTTTGCATAACCGTTTTAAAGCACAGTGGTAACTATATATACCACTTGTTTTAACATTCAGAAACTTTGCATTCTGCCACACATAGTGTGTTTAAGTGTTTCATATATGGCTCTCACAATAAACAGCACCTATTTTCCTAAACATGATTAACTTCTTGGGCTTTGTTGCGGTGATAGAACATGTGTTCTCTGAGATAGGAGTTTAATTCTTAAACATTATTTAAGCTACGATACATTCATTGAAAGCAATGTGTAAGTGTTGTACCAGAATACAAACTTGCTGTTGCTGAGAGATTATGGCCTCTTGGATGTGATATCATATAGTCTGGTACATCAGCACCAGTGTTTTGGAGGATCCAGTTCTGCCTTGAAAGTGGAGGCAACTATGTACTTCTGCAACATTGGCACCTGTCTAACACAGTTCTTGAAATCACACCCCAGAGGACTGCCATGAGATCCTGACGCCTCACTTCTTGGTTGTGGTGTTTGCAGGGGTGAGAAGCTGTATGTGACGAAGGACAAGAGACGCTCACAGTCCTGGAGACGGTGCATTTGTTGGGGCATCGGATTTGTTCTGCTCTCAGTAGCCATTTTGATAGCTGTATTAGCAGGAAGTAAGTACACAGAAATTTTTGAATGTCATTAGAGATTAATTAACGATAATGAATTCATGGACTATATGGCCTGGTCATGTGAATGAGATCCCTGTCTTGTATCCACTAAGTCCTAGGTTCAAGTCTTGGGCCAGGCCTGGCTACATTGACTAAGTATTTCATGGTTTTCTTTAGTTTGTGCAGTACATCATTTCCCATTCATTTCTCCCCAGTTGTCTTACCATTTAACACTATAGAATCTATGCTGCTGACATTATTAAATAAATTATAAATAAATAAATGAGCTTCATCTGTTACTGATAAGCATGTAAGTAGTGTAATGTAAATTTTGAGAGTGGCCAAGTGTAGTGGATATTCCACCACGATGTAGTTTTATAAGCCATATAATGTAATTTCCTGTACCATAATCTCATCACTGGAGTCTCATTTTTGGCAAAACAACATTAACTGTGTCTGTTTTACTTAATTTAGAACGTAAAATGTGAGGCAGGTTTTCTTTCACTGTTTTGGTTTCCCCAGCCAGTTCTCATTCCACCAAATGCTTCACATCCACTAATCACCCTATCATCTGGTGTGTAGTCTTGGTAGTGACAGCATCCATGAGCAGCCAACATGAAAAGAGACTCTAAAATAATGTAGAAATGGGCAGATGTCCTGTTTAGCTTCTGGCTCTACAGAGTTAACGAATGAAAGTTATAAGTTAGGCATGTCAAGTTTAGTGTGTGTATGGTTCATAATTGCATCTACACATGGTCTGTCAAATGTTATTTACAGTTATTTTAGTTAGATTCTAGGGGTGGGGTGAGGCTGAATCCACTAGATATGTCAGCTACTAACTGGCCTAGTGTACCAGCCCCGGGTGATAGATGATGACTGTGGAGCAGTCGGTGGAATGATAATTGGCAGGGGAAACCAAGTTACTCTGAGAAAACCTGCCCCAGTGCCACTTTGTCCACCACAAATCTCACATGACCTTACCCGGGCTTGAACCCAGGCTGCTGCAGTGGGAAACCGGTGGCTTAACTGCCTGAGCTATGGCACGGCCAACGTTACTTGTAAGTCAACAGTTATAAACATGGTGACAGTGCGAAACTTTGAGGTTATGTTTGACTGTTTTCATCTGTAGGTACTTAATGCATTCTTCACAAAACTAAAATAAAAGAAAGAGAAATGATAGTATAGAAGTGTGGGACTAGAAATGGAATGAAACTGGGCCTTGAAGTTCTTGTTTAACTTTACAATATAAGCAACGAATGGTCATAAAGATAACTGCAAAATAGCTGTGTACACTTCTCTGCTCTTGCTAAATGAAGTATGTGTGTAAACCAAATATATTTTTGTTGCAGCTGGAGTCATCTTGTCTCAAGAGGGTCAGACACTTGTAACAGAGAAGACTGAAACAAGTCGCCAGCTTGGTAGCAGTGGTAGTGATAGTCCACGGACAGGGGGCAGTTCAGACAGGGCAGGAGGCAGAAGTGAGCTGCCTCCCCTAGAAGCATCGTCATTCACTCCACCGCCACCCTTACAACCTAACATCCCCAGTATGCCAACCACTGACATGTCCCAGCTGTATGGTGAGTGTATCATTCTGATCACAGCTAAAGCATTTGAATTCCAGCATCTCCTCTTCTCAGAAATATTATTCAGATCTTTGTACATGATATGTAGTGTCTGCAGTGCCTGTGGGTAGAGTGGCCTGGGAATGAAACTGTCCAGTCACCTCCATCTAGTGCCAAGGTTAAGAAAGCATGGAGTTCTACTTCCACTCTCCCATTTATCTTCATTTCATGTTGCTTAATAAAGTAAGCACTGGGACAGTTTTATTTTTATCTTAAAATCTGCAACTTACATTTTTTAAGATTGTGGTCTTGTGGGATGTGATGCCATGTATCCTGGCAGATAGGTAGCGATGTTTCAGAAGAAACTGGCTGCTTGCTGAAGACTGAGGCAGTGTACAGCTTTGAGACATGGGTTTGTATCTACCAAATTACACATCACATCTAACAAGGCCATGCTCTTAACATTCACTGCTGTGAAAATCTGAAATCTGAGCAGTACTTTTAGTTTTTATTTCTGCCATCAGAGTGGAGCACAAGACTAAGATAAAAGAAACAAATAAATGTACAATTAATATGTTGTTGGACATTATCCATCATCTTGTCTGTTCTTAAAAAAGCGTCCTGTACATTTAAGTTTCATTTGTGAGTATTGCATTTGATGACTAAACTGAAGGGAACCCTAAACTGAGGAAATTTAACACTGTAAAGTAAAAAGAAAGTAAAGCTATCCCTGTAACAGGCCGTGAAGGCCCTTAGGGTTGTGAGACATTGAGGGTCCCACATTATCTAGACGATCGGCTCAAAGGTGGTGGTAAGGTTGTCAGCCTTATGTGCCGGCTGCGCTTTATTCCCCAGGAAAATTATTTAATTAGTTCCTGTTACTCATTTATGTTAGAGGCTGAGTCGACCTCAGGGCCATGATGCAGCTGGAAGGATTAGATCAACTGAAAAAAATTCAATGGCCTCATCGGGACTTGAACCTGCGACCTTCCGGCTTGTAGCATAGCCCCTCAACCAACTACGCTACCGCGTGCCCCCAATTTAACACTGAGATTACTGAATTGGGATCAGTGAAATTGAATGCTGAATGAGGAAAAATGTTAAACTGAGGAACTACTCTCAAAAACAGCCTTGAATAGGGTGATCATTGTGTAGCCTTACCGAAAGGAACAAATTGGAGAGAGGGCATTATGTTTTGAAACAGTGACACAGTAATCAATATCAGACACATCTGAATGTTTCAGTTCCTCGAGTACTGGAGGGCGAGCTTGTAATTGACAGCATGGAATTCAACCCAAGACTGTCCATGAGTGGATCTGAAGAGTTCCAGGAACTGGCAAATTCTCTGGAGGAGGAAGTAAGTTCCAGAAACTGGCAAATTCTCTGGAGGAGGAAGTAAGTTCCAGAAAGTAGGACCTGAAACCGATCTGGAAACTGAAAGTGATAAAACCCTGGGCATTCAGCATTCTCTGTGTATGGAGATAGCAACTGCCTCTGAAACACTGATAATGTCATGCACCAAATCCCCCAATAAGATTTTCTTATGAGTTCCATGAAATTGTGCGCTGAACTCTATCTTATGTTACATACAATAAGAACACAGATTATTGAACTGTACAGTTACGTTAACTTTAACACCGTTTCATGTTCTTCTGGTACAATGAGCCTTAACCCTTTGCACACCACAAACTGATCAGATCTGCTCAGCGTTCTTGACTAAGCATCACCACAGCTGAAGAGACTGGCTCACCCCTAACTGATTAGTACACAGTTTCAGTGAGCAAGTGGCATCACCTGTGGCATGCCAATGTTTAGAGGAATGAACAGGGTTTCACATGATCTATACCTGCTCTTATCTTTCTCTGCAACTGCTTTAACATTTAAGCAGCTCTGGCGTTTCTATGCACCTCAGTTCTGTGGTAGGGCTTGACAGTCAGAGAGGGAAAGTACACCAGACTCAAAGTGATGGACACTCTTTTGCAGACTGATAATCTGGGTTGAAAATGCTAGCCTTCAACACCAAACATTATGTTGTAGTGACACTCAAGCTTCATATTTGGCAGATTTTCGGCCATGACGATTGTTTTTATAATTCTTTTCACATTTTCAGGCGAATACAATGGTTCAGATATGTCACAACTCTTTCCTCTATCATCCATATTCTTTCAGATTCACCATTCAGAATTGTCCTGTTGTTCACAGCTAACATATTGCTTTGGGATGTTTAAGCAGGCAATCTGCAACATGTTAGTTCTTGCATTTATTCTGTATCGCAGTTCAGTAAGAGGAAGTTAACCAACAATATCCTTTTGTTTCAGCTGAAGAGGGCCCTCTTTGATGTCCAGACTCTGAACTATGGTGCTGCAGATATTTTTGTCAAAGTTGTTGGTTTCTCGTAAGTAAAAATAATATTTATATCAGCAAGCATTCAAATCACTTGTAACTTAGCATGGAAAATTTCATGGGCTTGTAGGATATGACTTACACTGTTTGGTAAGCCTAGAACTTGCAATCATATTGTATGTCATATTAAATAATGTATGGTTAATGTCATATCATCCATATTTCACACATTTGGCATGTTTAACATTATATGTTTTTTCTTAAAAATCGCCTCGGTAAATGTTTAATTTCATACTTTCGAAGATCCATCTTCATATAAAGTATTTACACCATGCAATAAATGCCATTAGCATTAAGGCTGTGGTCTTCTGGGTTGTTGTACCATGTAATTTTGTAGATAGGTATCAACGTTTTGGAAGAACATGCCACCTCCATCTTCAAGGTAGATCTTTACTTTTTCTACTCTGAAGACGTAGACTGCAGTGTTATCTGAAACACTGGTGCCTATCTGTGAAACCAGACAGTGACACATCCCATAAGACTGAAGCCAGAATCCCATGTGTCATTACAGTTTTCCCATCAGTCAGAAAGAGATATATGATATGCCTTGGTGATGGATTACAAAGAAAGAAACATTGCTGGCATCATGACATTCATACCAAGTTGCATGAAAAGTAGTCAGTGTTGGCATTACTCAAGTCAGGACACATACACACACTTCACAAGTTAATATTTCGCCTCCTGCATCTCTACCTCTGTTTCTGGGTTCTGGGACGACCATATTGTAGGTAACTAATGAAAGCAATTGAGACTATACTAATGCCATTTCCTGTGGGTCAGCAAGCTCATCATCTCCCTCAAACTATTACTGTTCTCCCTTCATTTTAGTTCTCCATATTTCATTTCAATTGTTTACCCATTCTGTTGCCTTCTGTTACAAGTGACTTGTGCTGGTTGACATAGACCAGAAGTAGGCTGCAGGGGTATGCACCAAGAGGCAGAGGGGTATGCCTCGAGCACTATCATCCCTACTATCCATGGGACTTCTTTCTGCAGCCTCATTATAGAAAAAATATGTTTATGCTTTCTGGTTACATAGTTGATATGTGTTCATGAATGTGTGACTTTACTGTGACAGTCGCGGCAGTGTGGTGGTGAAGTTCCGCGTTGGTTGGGAGTTCAAGGAGGGCATCAGAAAGGCTCCTGATCCAGTAGACAAGGATGCAGTCCGACAGCGACTGGAAAGGCAGCTGAATTTGAATGGAGGCACACTGGGAACATACCATGTTCCAATGGGATCCATCCGAGCCAGGCGTTAGTACCCAACTTTTATATTACTGTAAACTCTCACAAATCTGGTTACATCTAATCTAGATATCAGATAATCCAGAACACGAAAATGAAAAATGCTGTTCACAGTTGAGTACACACTTAGCATTTAGGAAGGCAGATGAGCCACTTGTCTGTTCAGACACAACTTGACAGCTTCTTGAAACCTGCATCATTATGTTCAGAAAGAAGCACAGCTTCTGAGTCTTCTATTGATGAATGAACGTATCATCATTTTATAGTTTTGAAATAAAGGCTCTGCAGTGATGTTTTGTTGTTTATTTTTGTCAGCACTACTTACATCATTAAAGTTTCTATTTATTTGTGTTTTAAGCTTTTTCTGTCTTTTATGGCTACCTTTTGCTTCATCAGTCTGGATTATCGCTTAATCTGGATCATCCCCCCCAAATATTGTGGGTTGCAAGGTTTTGCTGTATGTTAAGCACATCAAACTATCATAACAGTTTGAATGAGATAGTTTCATGTGAAATACTTTGGTAGTCATACATCAAGTTGATGAAATCTTTTCGAGTTACCAGCTGTGTCAATTCAGATAAGTAGTCCAAAGTTTCAGAAACTTCTCCTGCCTCCATCATTAGGGAATAATATCATCATAACATCATTCATTGCACACATGATTACTGACTTACATATGCTCAATTTACAGATATCCCTGCATGTGAATGACATAATAGTTTTTTCTTACAAGAAGTAATTAAAAATTTTCAGTGTGTTGGGAATATACAAACAACAGACTGAGACTGACAAACAAGTGTGACAGTGTTCCAAGACAACATCAAGTACAGTGAGCCACTCACTGTCAGCATGAGGCTCACTGATGGCTAGTGTCTCGACTTAAAGAACAACTCAGCTTTGAAACATAACCCATTTATGAACTTAAGATTAAATATATCCTGAAGATGGAGACAGTAGGTTCCTCTTCCAAACTACATGGCATCGCATCTCACATGTCTCTATCAACTTGATCCATTTTCTTTTGAGCCTCTGTTTACATCCCATTGGGTTTGTTGGTAACATTTCATCTTCTGTTTCTGTTGAACTTATTGAGCCAATGATGATTCTTTACATAGTCACATATTACATTTAATTAAAATTAAATATTTAATTTAGCCAGTAACCATTTTTCATTGCACAGGGTGGCAATATTATGAGGACATACTCGTATGTGAGCCACACAGAACACATGGGCAAGCCCTTCCTCTCTCTGAAGTGTTGCACAAGAATGTTCTTCCATGCACTCATTCTTATGAACAAGTTGTCTCATACGTACGGCTGTGTTTTGCAGGTCTGCTTGATGCATGTCAGTTCAACAATGGGGAGTGTTCACATGACTGTGCATTCGACTACCACAATAAGATGGCGTTTGTGTGCATGTGTCCCACTGGCCTACACTTGGATGCAAGTGGCAAAAACTGCACTGACTCCCGTAAGTTGTAATTACAGACCCTCGTACTAGGCTACATCAAAGTCTCATAACCCAGAAGATCACAATGTGGTTCACCAGTGTGAAGACCCCAAATCCCATATTCCTTCTTATGCACCTTTCATAACAATCCTGCCATATCTTATTTGAACTACATAATTCATCAGTTGATGCAGCACACATGAAATGGTTGAATAACCTAACACAGGATTCCTTGAATTCTTTATTTTGTTCCATCACCACAGTAAGAAATATGGATACACACACATCTTTGTCTTTTCCTTTATGACATGTTTTGGCTCATTACAGCACCATCAGAGGTTGGACTTGTTTACATTCACCTGCAGTGGTCTGCTGGCATTCCCACACTGGCCAGTGTTCACCTTTAAGATTAAATATTAATACTGAAAGTGTTAAATCATTAAAATTAACAAATTTAGAGTTTATAAAAAGTTTTCTTACGTTTTTTCTGGGTGTAGTGGCTCTGTGTAGCTGTTCTGCTGGGGTTCATCCCTGCCTTATATTAATGTAGTTTGGGGGCATGTGACTGTAGAGGAGCTACACACAACTACTACACTGAGATAAAAACATAAGAAAACTAAATAAACTCTTAAATTTTTTTAACTATAATAATTTAATGCTCTAACTATTAATATTTAATTTTAAAACTGAACATACATTTTTGTATATAATGGCATTATGTATTACTAAAAAAATAGAAAATCCCAGTGTGTAAACAGTGGCCAATGTAGGAAAACCAGCAGGTGAATACAGGCAAATGTAAAAAAGCCAAATACCTGATGATGGCCTAATGAGCCAAATCATGCAAAAAAAAAACATAAAGTACATGGTGTATCAATATTTCTCACTGTGGCAAAGGAATAAAATAAAGAAATTTCACACACGCAATCAAATGCTAAAGTATAATATATACTGTTCCTTGACTTCATTTTATCTGTTGAAGAAACGTTATATATCAGCATCACAGGAAATCCTCGTGTCACACTCCTGCTCTCCATTCAGGAGGCCCACGTTCATATCTAGTTCCAGAGACTGCCTGTGATGACTGAGGTTCTCCTTTTATGGGTTTCTTCAGTCTCCCCAGGCAAATGCTGAGATAATACGTCAAATTAATTAATTACTACTTCATTCAAAATCCTTTTCAATTCATTATTCACTGATTAACTTACCATTTGATGCTCTGCAGCTTGAGCTATTCGTGGCTCTGTGGAATCTAGAAGGTAGCATACACCCCATAAGACTCTATTCCTGATGTTCACTGCCGTGAGAATGTCACATCTGAAGCTGCAAATAAATAAGATCCTACAGGGCAAGTGACCCCTTGTACTGCTTTCGTTCAGAATGAACTTCATCATATGGAAATGTCTGTCATGTGAACGTTTGTTTACAGTTCAGATTCAGTAAAACTGGAAAGAGTGTGAGTGCACATAACAGATAAATGCATATGTGCCTTTAATTTGTGACAGAATTTCTATTTTCTTGTGGTTGCTAGTTTTCTTTATTTGTAACGTTTAGTTCCAGTGGAAACGGAGTCAACACCAACGCACAGCCATGAGCCTTCACCTGAGCCTGTGCCTGAAGCTGCTCCTGAACCATCACCTGAGCCTGTGCCTGGAGCTGCTCCTGAACCAGAACCAGAACCAATTACAGAATCAGCTGAACCAACTAGAACCTCCACTGCCTCTACAACTATGCTGAACAGTTATGATACCAATCATCAAATGGGTCCCATACCAGAACATACCACACTTCAGTCGCAACAGTCAAGGCATCCTGACTATGTCACAGCTCAGCCATCACCATCTGGTCCCCAGGAACACCTTGGTCAATATGATAACAGTGTTGGTGAACAAGTTCCTGCATCAACTGAAATGGCTCTCTCAAAGCCAGAAAGTGTGTCAGTTCACGAGGCCCACGAAATTGCCCTGGATCATGGATCTTCACAAACCTCTTTACCTCAGGGGGAAAATAAAACCCATGCATTACACATTGCTGAAGGAAACAGCACTGAAATATCAGAGGATCCACATAAGTACTTTGCAGAAGTTCCAGCAACTGTTCAGGTGATTTATGATGATACAACACATGCAGAGCATGCTGAGCATTCTCCTGTAGATGATCACAAGCTGAATCACGATGGACTTGAATCCACCTCCTCTCCTCACTTTCATACAGAAACGCAGACTTTAACAGTCAGTGTTATTGACAGAAACCACAGTCAGACCACTCATATTCCATACAAAATGGCTCCACATGAATATTTCATGACTGACTTTCCTGTCGAGATGATTGCCAGACATGAACTGAATGATAGCATTGTGATGGTGAGTACCCAGAGCCCAGAATCTCTGACACCGCATGAATCAGAACATGACCGTAGCAACTCTGAAACTTCTGCAAGTCTCCCTGATGTATTTATGCCTTCTGAGGAAACACATACTGGTGTAGATACTATTGTTACAACTAATTCTCCTCTTACATCACATCCAATGGAACATCACACAGCTGTAAATGTAGAAACCCTTGCCAAGCACTCTGAAAATGAAGCCGAGCCCACAGATTATCCATTTGATATGGAAAAGAAAAGAGACTTTGCCCACAATTTTGGTGGAAATGGATCTGAAGAAGTAAACAGCTCCACAGGCGAGAAGTCACGAATAGCAGAGTCACTAGAGAACAGTGCAGAAGGACGTGTGTTCACATCCCATGGCGTGAAAATGGAGAAGGAAATTGAAACAAACTCTTCCAAGTTCCAAGAACAGGAGATACCCACTGTCATTCCTGTCAGAATTATTCATGCTAATGATCCTAGTCACAGTGACATGGTGATGACTGGTCATGCAAACATGTTGACACCAAGTGGAGACAATGTCACTGAAATAGTTCCTGGCAGCTATGATGAAATGGCTGCTCTTTCACCAATAACTCCAGAGGAGCACAAACATGATGGCGTCTTCTCCAATGATGTGTACTTCCCTGATTCAGAACATGCAGAAAACGACACTTTCTTGAATGCATTGTCACCAGAAGATTATGACAACCATCCTCTGCGGCCGGTTACTGTCGTGTCAAGACCCACAGAAAATGCGACATCTGTGACTAATCTGAAGTTAAAGAAGGGCCCACGTCTTGATGATGATCAGATGTTTCAGATGAACCCAAATGAGGAGCATGAACATAATGTTACTAATGAACCTACTGTTGAAAATATATCGGCGATTGTTCATGTTTCTGAATCAGTTCCACTGTCACCTGTAACCCCAGTCACAGAACTCTACCATGAAGAGGCCCACATGTCAGACAGTGAACGGTTCCCATTGCCGTCGGATGATAATTCACATCCAAACTTAATTTCTGCAGGAGAAGTTCATGAACATGGGAATGTGACGTTTGAGGCTGTTCAGCATAATTCTGAGACTGCAAACAAGAGTGAGGATGCTTCCGTTGCTGTTGATGCACTTGGTGCATATGAGAACGGTACTGAACCTGCAGCAAGAGACGCTATGCTGAAGTCTGAAGTGCTGAAAGGTACAGATGGCCATGTCACTGAAGATGACATACTGGCAGTGAGTGTGACAGAAAGCATGTCTGAAGACGCAGCTACAGTCCCAGCCATTACTACCGAGAATTTTGTTTCATCAGGTACAGAAGTTCCTGTCATGAAACCTGAAGAGGTTTCTACTGACAGCACGTTGAAAGATGTTGAGATGGTCACCATGCTGGAGCCAGAGTTGGTAACTGCACCCGACAGCAATTTTACATCATCAGTTCTTGTACATGATTCAAACAATTCTAGTGAAAGGAACGTGAGCTGGCCTTCGAGGGAGAACGTGATTGAGGACGGTAACGTGTTGCATCCAGGTTTGTTCAACACAACAACAGAAGATGAAGTAGACCATCCCTTGACAGTTGCTCCTCTCAAAGAACATCTTGAAAACGAAACCATTTCACATAGAAACTTACATGAAGATAGGGAGGCCCATGAGACAGTGGCAGAATCGGAGCAGTCAGTCGAGTTGACCACACGAGTGGAGTCTGTGGACGCCGCTGCTGAGAGCGTGCTGAATGATGCAGAGAACAGTACTGCCTCTCCAAGTGACTCTCTGATAACCCAATCAGTTGTTCAGATGTTGACAGCTAAGATCTTGGAATCACTTTCAAGTGAGTCGAGCTCAGAGGCAAATTACGTAACTACTGTGATTCCTCATGAAGAAAACGACATTTCATCAGGAGGGGAGGTGAATGATAAGGGAAAAGAGACAGATATTTCCATGAGTGCAATACCAGAGAACAAACAGCTGGATGCCATACAACCAGAGAATGAAGTTCTGGTACCTACTGCTCAGAATATAACTCAGAATGGAGAAATGAAGTTGTCCCCCATGAGCAATGATACAGAAACAACCACTGATTCAACAGACATGACTGATAAAGGTGATGTGGTAAGTAATGCAGAGTCTCCCAGTCTTCTTGTGAGTTCAGGTGAAGATGCAACCCCATCCACTTCCCCAGAGGAAAGTAACATGAATAAAACTGAAGGAACTACAACTACAACTACTACAACAGAAACGCCCTTGGAAAGTGATAATGAAGCTGATGATTCTGATCTGTTCCTTGGTAAGCCAGAAGGAGAGCGCATAAACACAGTGAAACCCCTCCCTCACAACATTTCGTCCACACGCAGTGAATACAAATCCAGTACAGAATTTTCTTCACTTGGTATCACTAATAGCACGGATGAAAATTCTCATGGTGACTTGGTAACAGGAGTCAGTGACCACAGCAACACTGCATTTGAGAAGCCACACGCATTTACTGACATAGAGAACAGACTTCTGGTAGAGTCTGGTAAGGTCCCTGACATGAGCACATCATCCACAACAGAGTACGCGAATGAGATCCATGCCTTGCCTCCGAGTGGAGGTGGGAACATCATTCCACCAACAGCACAGAGCGTCGTGCTGATTGATCCAATCACAGGTGAAATTCAGGCTCCCACATCAGTTGGCCAACTGAAGAATGAAACCTTCTCTGCAGTCGTGACTGGAAGCGATTCTGCCATTGAGCATGTACAGCACAGTGAAAATGCAACAGCTCCAAAGGCAGAGAAAGATCTGTCTGTTGTTTCCATAAGCAGGCAAGAGCAAAAGAAGAAAGACTTCTTAAATGGCTCGGTGAACAAGAAGACTCTGAAACCCACAGGCGAGATAAGCAGCCTGCAAGGAGACAGTGAGCAACTGATTACTGATAAGTCAGTGATTAACCTGTATGAGAAGAAGACAGTTGATAAATTGCAGAAGTTTGATAAAGACAACAGCAAGAAAATAGATAAGATGGGTTTTGCAGCTTTGCCAGTCTCTGTTATGGAATCTGATCTGACTGAAGACATGGATGTAACTACAGCTACAAAGGAAATGTCTGCATTAGCTACATCTTCAAGCACAACTGCTATGCCCATTCCAGGCACAAAGTCTACAACTGAAGCATCTGGTTCAGTGGAAAATGAGCCGAGACCTGTCGATGAAGAAGACGAAAATGAGGACCCTCTCATACTTTTACGAGGTGATGTCGAGCATGTAAATATTGTGGAGCCAAATGATATGGCAAAGAAGGAACAAAAATCAGACCCACAAAGAAATAAGGCTTCTAGATATGAAGGCAAGACAGTCATGAATGAAAACGTCACGGTGGCAGATGATGAGCATATTGTGGCTAGGAGTGACACTGCATCCAAGACAGAGGATGCTCCAGAATCAGCTATAGCTGTTGGTATTGAACCTGCAGTCTCATTAGCAGCAAATGAAACATCAATACTGGCAGATGATCTTCTGACACCCAGGATACAACATGAGAGCGACACTGTAGTCCCTCTGAGAAGTAAGAATGAGTCATCATCTTCCAGCACTGCCTCCAGTGAGGAGAAAGTGATGGTGGTAACATTACCTACTGATGAATCATCATTAAATTCTGATAATCAGGATCCAAGTCCTAAAGTATTAGGTGGAAATGTTGAAGACAATACAACTGTAGTTGATATTCCTTTGCTCACATCCATGAATTCAGAGTCAAGCAGTGAGATACTGAATGCTGCAGGAAATAGTACAGTAACAAATGTTAATCATGGAAATGTGGGAACACCACTTGAAGAAGGTAGTGATTCTGAGGCCCCCACTACAGCACCTTCTTTGGAGCCATCTATAAACACAACCATTGAAACATCATCAAACTCAGAAGAAGTTCCTGCCATTACTGTAGTAACACTGAACAGTGAAGATCTTGCCAAGTTGCACAAAGGAACAACTGTGACACTTGAAGATGGTGAGTCACAGAACTCAACAAGAAATTTTAATACAACAGAGGTGATAGAAGATGCATCTCCAGCAGGACACAATAATGGTGTAATACACCAGTTGACTGCTGAAAATGGTACAGCGGTTGGAGGATATGTGTTTGGAGAGGTACCCATGGCATTTTCAAAATGTGCATCAGGTTAGTAGACAATTTTATACTTTGCTGATGATAATTCGTTCACTGCATTTGACATATATAATTGCCAAAATATATCTGCGTGTCACTCTCACCCTGGCTCTCCCAGGCAGTGTCTCACGCGAGGCGGGGAGATGCTGCTAGATGCATGAGTTCAAGTTGAAGACAACTTGGTTCCCCGTTACTTTCTCCATACCTCGTACTGGCAACATGTTGCAGCACACCCCATCGTGGCAGAGTCATCTTCAGTTTCAAATTTAAGCTCACAGGGTGGCTGAGAATACCGTATTTACGCATGTATAGGCCGTGTGTGTGTATAGGCCGCAGCACAATTTTCAGACAGAAATTATAGAAAAAATAATTTTCTTGGAATATTATTTCAGGAGTAGAACACCCTGTATTACTAATTATGAATATAATTTTTTTTTAAAATGAAGTGTGATTTCGAAAATTTCGAATATAAGCCGCACCCCAGTTTTCCTCTTGAATTTTTGGCAAAAAATGTGCGGCCTATACATGCGTAAATACGGTACATTACACCCATGGAAGCATCAGTATTAGCTGGGATAAAATGCATGTTTACTGTCGACCCCTGCACCAGCTGTGTACTAGCTCTGGCTGTCATGAGGTCCATCTCAAATGCAGTTTTTGGCCTGTGCTCAGAAAGAAGGCTTCAAGGGGTTAAGAGAATATTTCAGTTCCTCTGAATTTTAAAATATAAGTTGTCTCATGTAGATGTTGAGGCAGTACTTTGAATCAGGCCAACACTGCTTTATTCCACATCGTTTCAAGTTCAGATTCACTAATCATCCTAACACAAAGCGCAGTTGACAGTGCCATTAAATAAAACAAAGACAAGTAAATAAGTTACACTGGATAAGGATAGTGATCTGTTTTACAGGTCAGTTTCAGTGCGTGAATGGAACATCACATGAAGGAGCCTACTGTGTGAGTCAGGTGGCAAAGTGTGACTCCGTGAATGACTGTTCAGATGCGTCAGATGAGATGGGCTGTGTAGAGGAGGGATGCCCCGGCAACTTCCAGTGTTCCAGTGGTCAGTGCCTCAAGAGACATCTGGTGTGTAATGGCATTGTGGACTGCAATGATGGCAGTGACGAGGTGAACTGCGGTAAGTAACAGTCAGTTTCCTGAAAAGTGCAGCTTTCATTTGCCATGTTTGGGCTTGGTCACGGCACATGTTGGCAAGAGCATGCTGTAAATTTTGTAATATCTTTGAGCGCTGTGTGTTATATCCACTGCAAGAAGCATTCAAGAAAACACGTTTTGCACATTATACTTATGCCACTTTTCTTCTCAGTGTGAATTTCTGTACCGTTGCTAGAATCATATTTCTGTTTCCAGAAAAATGGCACTGTCAGTTTGATGAGTTCCAGTGTTCATCAGGCCGCTGCATACCATTCCTGTGGCACTGCGATGGCAAGCCAGACTGCGACAACCACACTGACGAATACAACTGCATGAGTGAGTTGAAAAGTGTCATACTGTTCCTGCAGAATGGTTCCAAACATACAAAATTAAATGCAAAACTTTCCGACCAAGTGCTGAGGCAGTGTGCCACATATGTCATTCTACTTTAAGCACAGGCAATTACTCTGACCACTACAGGGCTGAGCAAGCTGTGTTTATAAGGGAGAACTCAGTAACCTCTGTTTGAGCCGATGACTACTTATGCTATTTATGGCAAGGACATGCGATCTCTTGTCAGCTATCAATTTACTGATATGTCCTTTGTGATGATGCAATGACATCCTAGGTTCCTGTGGAAATGATGAGTACCTCTGCCCAGAGCGGTGGTGCATACCGATGACCTGGCGATGCAATGGGATTGCTGAGTGCGCTAATGGGGAGGACGAGAAATTGTGTGGTAAATGCTACAGTTTCACATATTTTAAACTTTCTTACTCCTTTGTTAATACTTTCATCTGCCACTTCTGTTGCTTGATGGACAGAAGTTTACTTCATGCAATGCCGAACTGATCAGGTGACAGGTTGTTTTCGCTGTGAATGTAATTGTATAGTCTCCTCGAAATGTCACAAGAATGTAAGTGACAGTATAAATGCACCCATATGGGCCTTCACGGCCTGTTACAGGGATAGCTTTATCTTACCTTTTTTACACAGTTCATTTAATTAGGATTACATGGATGAAATTAACTGTTTCTCCTATAATTGAGAGTGTCCTGGCTTTTCATACGTAACAAATATGTAACAGTGGAAAGTAAAGGTAAATTTATGCTTGTTCTTAATTAAGCATTGCACTATCATGAAAATGTATGAGGGGGACGGGAAGTGGAGGTATACCCATACACATTCTTAACCTCAACTGTAGATGGCCTGGGGATATGGCCCTTGGATGCTGTGGAGAAGAGAGACAATCTCTTGCCTGGTTGTCTAATCCATACTGTAATCACTATATAAACAGGGCTAACCGAGCTCCTAAAAATAACGATATCTCATTTCAAATGGAAATGCTTGGAAACTCACTCGGGTGATAGCATCACTGCTTTTCTCAAAAGAACCCGCAAAGAGTTAGTCATGTATGAATGCAATGCACTTTCTCTGAGCGCAGACTGTTCACTGGACCAGTTCCGATGCAACACAGGGGGCTGCATTCCGAAGATGCAGGTCTGTGACTCTGTGGAGCACTGCCCAGATATGAGCGACGAATGGGGGTGTGTCCGTCTGCACAATGACACAATGAACTTGCAGATAAGGTATGTAAGTTATTCTTCCAAGTTAGTTGTGTTTAAAAGACAGTACATTTCTGTAAGTTATTCTTCCAAGTTAGTTGTGTTTAAAACACAGTACATTTCTTGTGACATACAGTACATACCAGTGACCAGTACATACTGGTGACTACAGTGGAACACAGTGACACATCCATCTCGGGTTCCTTTCTGGGCTATGGATTTGAACACTGAACTGGGGTAAATATAAGAGTGACATTACTGAACTGCGGAACACTTAAAGGGGGAGTCCACTGCATTATGTGGGGGAATGGCCAACAAGAATGCTTGTCCTTGGAAGCAAAATTTTGGAGTGGAACTCATATTTAATGGTCCTTGCTATAAGGTTACTTTCAGTGGCCCCACTATTCAGTTGTGTTCAGGTCAAGGATGCAATCCACCATCCACTATGAAACTGTAGACAGGGATTTCGTTACATTATCACGACAAATATGTCTGATCCATCTGAAGACGTTGAGTACATTTCTACTACAACGTAAATGGATACATGGATTACAAAAACAAATTAAACTGTCTTTTTCTTTATGAAGGTCACATTAACAAATATCAGCATAATGCTACAGCAGAAGGCCATCTTAAGTTGTATGTCCTTCCAGGAAAGGGGACTAGAAGTAAGAAAACAAATGTGTATAATTCTTTGTTGAGCAGGTCTGCAGAGGGGACATGGCACCCTGTTTGTGGGGATGGCTGGGACAGCAGCTGGAGTGACCTCGCCTGCCAGAGCCTGGGGTACAGTAAGGCCATCTTCACCGAGAACCCACCAGTGAGTGACAGTGTCAGCGAGTATTATGCCCTGAAACCAGGAAATGCAGTGCCCCTAAGAGGGGCAAGTTCTCAGCTGACATCATCACTTCAGAAGTCTGGCAATGAGTCTTCCTGTACATCGGGCACTGTGGTCGAAGTCTCATGCCAGGAGTTTAGTAAGTACCATTTACCCTTATGTTTTTGTTCATAGAATTCCTGCATTTAATGTTTCCTTTTTATGTTCCAAAACCAGTTTGCACATAAACAAAATACAGTAAACCCTCATTAATCTAGTTACAGTTAGTCTGGATCAAAATATGAAAAGTGAAAAATTCTGTTCACAGTTCAGTAAACAAACTAAAGTCCTCTCTGTAACAGGCTGCAGGGGGCCCATAGGGTTGAGACATCCAGGCTCCCACATTTTCTAGACAATCAGCTCACAGATGGCGGTGAGCTTGTCACCCTTAAAATGCCGGCCACCCTTTACCCCCAGGAAGATTCCTGGTACTCATATGTCAACTTTTTCTAGTTGTTTCATTGATCCTCTTTTAGGCATTAGCATCCTAACATTTAAAATTATGCTACACTTATTTTCTCATTCCAGAAACAGACAGTAATCGTTAATATTGCATTGATAACGAAGTAGGACATGACAATAAGTTGCTTTTGAGGCGGAAACATATGTATGTATACAAAGTAAATAATTCTTAAAAAATAAAAATTTGGAAGTGTGGTTCAAATATAAAGTCTGACAAATCATTCATATTATTTGTTGTTCATTTAATACATTCCGTTGTCTTTCTTTTATTTTATACTTCGCTTTTTCTTTTCTGTGGTAAGTGTTTTAACCTTCCCCCATCTCTGTTACACACTAATTCTGCAATGTCATGGTACTAGTGGATAGCAGTGGAACTGATAGGTGCATAGTGTGTGTCCATATCAAATGGAGAAACTCTGAAACAGAAAAATGATTGGGTGCTTTGGAATTCTACTGTAAGCAGGTTTTGGTGCTGCACTACTAAGTTGGTATATATGAATGTGGTATGTGTGTTGCAGCTTGTGGTAGCCATGGCCTTGCTGATGGAGTTGCGGCGCGGCTAGTGGGTGGGGATGGTGCTACAAACGGCCAGTGGCCATCAGTGGCTTTGCTGTACCACACGAGACACAAGTCAAGTTGCACTGCCAGCATTATCAGCCCCAAATGGCTCCTGTCCTCTTACAGCTGTCTCCATCTCAGGTACATTCTCCAGCAATACAGTAAGGTTTGCAACACTGCATAGTCTTGCCTTTGTACCTTACAGGACACTTCTTCCAATGTTCAAATTTTGCTGGAGAGGAAGTACAGGTCAGAGCTCCCACATTTGTCACCCTTGGGACCAGACCAAGGCCAGACCACAGAATTTTCTGAACCATGGGTAGTCAACATATTAGGTAATCAGAACGCCGAACTATACCATTATAATATGATATATCAAATTGTACTGATACAATATTCATGCATACAAACATTACCAACACACTTTTGCTTGCTGGTCCCACTGAACCCATATTTATGGGTCATTTGATGAACCAAACTTGTCCTGGACCATGGGTGATTGTGCCTGATTTGAAATGCCCGACCTGTACTATATATGTAAACAAGTGGGGACTGCGCTTCACTGGAATATCTTTATTTTCCAAGTGCTTTGTCTCTACTGTTGTCATGTACATTACTGCTTTCTGTTGTTCATGCACTGAAGACATGAAGTCTGTGTTTCACAAAAATAGCGTAAGTTGGCTGAAGTTGTCATCCTTCTCACACACAACCAGAACTTCGAGCATCATGTCTGAGTTCATTCTATGGTTTTCCAGGGTCCCACCAGGCAGATGTTGGTGCTATAGTGCCTTAAATTAGACCATTACTGCTTCCTTTCCAATCCATTCACCATCATCTAATCATTCAACGCTCTACAGTCTGAATTGCTGAGAGTGTCATTATATCATTAAATAAAGTGCAAATAATTTATTTCCTACAATATATTTCCATCTACAGCGCAGCTCATTATTGTTCCCTTTCTTTCTCACGACACGTTTCGGCCATGCACGGCCATCATCAGGTGTCTCTAATTCACTGAAATTGTTGCACTTTGTGGATGGTCCAACTTCTCATATCTCATGTGAATGCAATATCTCTACATACACAACACTACTACACAAGCAGGGTGAAGAACCTGCAGTCAAAGGGGCATATGTGATAACTACACCAACATACTTGGGAACTACACAATAACACACAAACACCCATACCGCTGTGTAAATAAATCCAAACAAGGAGACTTCAAACAATGTTGCTGCATTGTAGACAGAAGTATACTGTACAAAATAAAGGATATATTAATGCAACAGGATGCTAAAATACAGTATTAAAAATATAAATAAATATAAGCACCATACAGAATAAATGGCTGTGCATTGTACCATTGTAGCGGCCTGGCAACACGGTGTTAACACATGGTAACTTCTTCTACCGAGAAGCTGTGGTACAGACAGTGATCATAGCTGTTACTGATATGACTTGTCTCTGAGTTGCTACGAAGCACTTCACTGTTTTTGCATTTTATCTGCAGTTTGTACAACACATGTAGCCAGACGTAACACCCCATCATTGTCGCTGTGCTTAGCTGTAGGATGTTGGAGCACTTGGAAGTGGAGATCGTACTTTAGGATTGTTTTAGTGGTGATACTTGATGGTTTGCCTGGGGATGAGACGTGCATCTGAGGGTCTGTTGTGTGTGGTTACATGCAGGAAGTGACATGACACTGGTTCACTGCTGTAAAGTTCATATGAATGAAATGACAATAGATAATTGTGTGCAGTGCCTGAATGGTTCACAGCTGTGGTCACAATCTTTCATCATGCTCTCTGAGGGGTTTCTTAATGTATAGGTAATTTACACGTTTCGGTATCACGCTTTTCATTATGTACGCTGATTAAATGCGTGCTGCACCATGCTAGGCTGTTACCACTCACATGACCCTTCCTTGTCTTGTCAAATCTAATAAAGGAACGATATGACAGTTGGTTGCCCTTCTAACGCAACAGTCAACTCGTGGCCTTACTTATTTACTCATAGAGCTGAGCCCTTCTTGAGGAGAAGCCAAATATAATCAAGAATTTCCCAGCATTTTATGGAACCCAAAGGTTCATTACTGTGCTCACAAGAGCCTTTCACTTGTCCCTATCCTGAGCCAGATAAATCCAATCCTTACTCTTTTTTTATTGCTAGTGGGGTGGGACTAAGTCCCTTGCACTGCGGCCACTTCTGGCCTATTGTACCAGCCCCAGATGATAGGTGAGGGTGATTGTGGAGCAATTGTTGGAATGAAGATTGGCAGGGGAAACCAAAGTACTCATAGAAAACCTGCCGCAGCGCCACTTTGTCCACCACGAATCTCACTTGACCAGACCCGGAATTGAACGCGGGGCGCCGTGGTGGGAAGCCAATGACTAACTGCTTGAGCAATGGCATGGCCAATCCACACCCTACTACCATTTGAAATTGAAATCAGTTCTCATCTGAGAGAAGTAGGTACTAACCACACCATCTGTTGAGCCTGTTGTTATTAACATACTGGGATTTGAACTGCAGCCCTTTAGCATGTACCTTGAGCTGATCAGTTACAGTCTGGAAGCGGCCCTTTGCATTTTGCCCTAAAGTACAGCAGAATGACTGTGCCATGTAGGCTGTGAGTGGATTGGTACGCTTAGGACATGCAGGGGGTGAGATCAGGCTGCCAGCCCTTAGCACCAGTGAACATGAAGGTAAACATACATAGGCAGCTCTGTTGGGATATATGAGGAAATTTGTCTTCAGAATTGGATCTGCTGGTGATACTTGCTGTCTTACCTGTGGCAGTAAAGCTGTTTATTTATTCAAGGATTTGAAAGGAGAGTGAAGTTTGCAGGTCCCTAACTTTGTGAGTGCACCGGCTGTAAAGATTCCCGCGTTCTGGGATGTGGTGCTGAGTAGAACATTGGAAGGTTACAAATATTTTGGAGACAGCAGGTTCCTCCAAAATGTGGGTGATGTTCCACCAGACTGCACGGTGTCACATCCCAGCAAATAATTGTCATCACTAACTGTGTGTTCCGACAGGGACAAAATGCTGACTGCAGACAGCTGGGTGGCATTTGGCGGCGGGTCCATGTTTGAGACAGATAAGCCAGAGACCCAGATACGAGAAGTTCAGTCCATCATCCCGTACCCACAGGTGAAATACAACCAGTTCCTCTACAACAATGATATTGCGCTTATTGAACTGAGCCAGCCACTCATGTTCACACGATATGTGGGTGCCATCTGCCTGCCAGAGAAGGAAATTGAGCCACGCCAACTCTGTGTCACTGCTGGCTGGGGTTATACTTCTCCTGGAGGTGAGATATCTCAAATAATCCTTAGCTCTCATCTGATGTCATACATATTCTTCACTTCAATTATACATACAGCTGGAAGGAACATTAGAGTGCTCAATATGAAGATTCTCACAGTCATATTATTATAGCTCCCTGCCCATCTAGGGAAGTTGGTAGAATCCATTTCATAAGGCAAATTCTGTTACCTGAACTGATGGAGTCATGGTAGCAGGAGGGCCTCCAGCTTAACATGGGCTCCATATCAGGGTGTTGCTGGTGTTCTTAGCGAGTCCACAGTTTTACCTTTCACATCATCCAAGCTTTCATTCTCTGAACAGTAAACTCTGTACATAAATTTGACTGAGGGTCAAACTCAGAGACCTCTGAATGGGAATCTGATGTCTTACCTCATTATCACTAGACATATTTTCAGTATACTGCATCTCAAACATCTTTGAGATTGCATCATTATCAGATAGTGCTGTAGACCAGTCTGCTTTTACCGGTTCTCACGGTCTCTTTGCTTGCGGATTTCTTATATTTTTCCTTCTACCCTGAAGATGGAGGCGATACGTTCCTCCGAAACGTTGGTTAACACAACATATACGCGGTGCCAAATCCCAGAAGACTGCTTTCTTCATAAATGTTATGTTTTCTGCAGAGATCAACTTCAGCCAGTACCTCCACTACTTGCCAGTGCCGACCATCGACCTCAGGGACTGCAATAGTACCAAGCATTATGCAGGTTTCATCACTCAGGACGAGATATGTGCTGGCTTCACAGATGCAGAGAAGTCTCCTTGTTATGTGAGTTCTGCTCTACTTTCCAACATGTGTTCAGTGGACATTAGCCTTTCTGCAACCCTTGTACAACTGACATTTCTGTTGCGTGTCAGAAGCCATCACTATTATCATACTGGGCTGTCAGTGTTGGGTATTTATTGATTGATTATAAAACCATTTTACATTTTGTTGACAGAAACCTTATATTTGTGATACACAACACGATGTACACTACAAAAATAGTTTTTGGCACATTCAGAAAACAAAGTTGAAAAATGTGACTGTTAGCTTCACAAAGTCTGTCAGTCCACATGTAACAGCTAGAGAACTGCAGATGACATTAGCATTGAGTTTTATACTGGGTACAGTTTTGCCAAAATTTGTGAGCACATTCTGGTTTTGATTACAGCTGGACAGCAATAATAGATACTTTATGTGAACACTTAACATGCCTTCAGCATGCCTGTCAAGTGCAGCTCACTAGACTGAGGGGTGTTTCAGACAGAAGTTTAGAAAAAATAAAACACACATTTTATGTCCGACGTCTCCTCCTTTTTTGTAAGTATTATAGCTTCTAAGTAATTAAACATGGAGAAAAATGCGCCAGATTGAAAGCTGTTTTCTGGGAGCTTGATGCCATGTAGTCTGGTAGGTGGTTGTCAGCGTTTTGGAGGCGCATGCTTGCTCACACTGTATGACAGTAATGTCTGCAGTGAGCACTATGAGAGCCTCAGACATCAGTTTGAACGTAATATATTTTACTGCCTCACAGAAACTCAATTTCCCTTCATAGAAACGGAATTAAAGTTTATAGTACTTTCATTTTTCATTTATTTCATTAAAAGTCAGAATTGTAGCTGTGTACATTGCCAGCTGCTACCACATTAAAACTCTTCATTTTGCCCACACAGTGTATTCTTGTGTTCCAAATGATTCTCAAAATAAACACTGATTATCTCCCTGAACAGCATTAACTGGTTGGGCTTTATTATGGAGTCCCAGTGTTTCCTGTGCCAAACAGACTGAATCTTCTAAGTGTCCCCTTATTTGAAGTAACTTTAGGCTTGAAGGGGATAGAAGAGTGGGGTAAAGGGGTGTGCATCCATCCAGTGTTGGCTTGACATGTTGAATGTAGCATTACCATGCAAACAGAAATACAAAGAGGGACAGCTGAAGACAAATACAATAGATTATTTGGCTTTAGGACAGAAGAGGAAGTGTAAGGATCCATATATGATTGGGTGACAAAGCTGTATGTGTTGCAGAATGATGAGGGCGCACCACTGATGTGCGTCAGTGAGGGCGGTGTCTGGGAGCTGCAGGGAGTCCTCAGCTACCACAGCAACTGTGGACAAGGGTACCATCCATCCATTTTCAGCTCCATCACTGCTGTAAGAGGCTGGGTTGAGAAGACTGTCGGCTCTCGCTTTGAGCGCAAATCAACGTTTAACGTACGGCGACGGAGAGCACTGGCGGAAATTTTAAATTAGGGAGTGTACGGAAGGAGAGAGTGCCAGAGTAAGAGCACAGTGCAGGTTGCATAATGCAACAGCTATGCCCGTGTAGTGCAAGTCATACAGCAGGTTTAGGCATACATTCTCTTGGAGTTTGCTGTAAGTGAAGGTAAGACTGTATACTCTCATTTTCAGCCAGTCATGTTGGTAACCAAGTCAAATGTCTGTGATTGTATGCCGAAGTGGCTGCTGTGCCAAAATGTACTGTGCTGTACTCACCAACATGACACATTGGTAATGTGGAAGACTTTGAAGTTATTTGCTGGAATTTAGTCTCTCTCTTCCATGTGTGACTGAAGAGGTCGAGAGAAACCAAGCACTTGTAGCTTCAGCTACAACAGCATATATGCTACTGAACACTGGGTGCTCATACATTCCAGTGTAGGGTTCATGCTTTGAAATTTCAGTTAACTGTTATTAAAAAATTGGAAATTTTGTATAAACATTTGTGTGGCACATGCATTAGATTTAAAACATGTCAGATTTGAATTTGTTTCTGTTTCTCTCTTCAAGCCTTTTGTGGAATAGATAAGGAATTAACAGAAGAGAGATTTGAAACATTTCCTATAGGGTTTAATGGTAGGCAGACTTCACACCACACACTGAGAAGTGAGGACAGAAGATTACTGAGGCCTGATCTTCTCACTACAGTGAGTATTAAGATTGCAGTCTTCTGGGTTGTAAAGAAGTCACTGCTTCTGCTCTGAAGGTTAAGCCAATAGAATCCTCCTGAGCATAACAGCCTATCTGTCAAACCATGTAACGTCACATTTCAGAAAATGTAATTTTAATATTCACCACTTTGAGAACTCTGGGTCTCATCTGCAGAAATCTAAGACATTTGGTACAAGGATGTTCATCTTCTGCAGTAAGGACCTCCAGAGCTATGGAAGTTTCTAACCACCCAGTGTTTCAATTGAAAATTCCCCCCAGTCTGTCTTGATTACTCTCCTGTGCAGAGCATAATAGAGGGGCAGGAGATGCATCCATCTCTGCATGTCACATAATTTTCATGTTTACTGATGGTTAGGCTGATAATTATTGTGTTAACCTTTAGGCCTCCACATTTTCAAGCACTGACACATCCTCCAGACTCGTTTCATTTCGGCAGTATTTGTGTTGTTATTCTGACTTTGACTGGACAAAAATTTTACTGCCTCTTCAACTTAAATTCTCTGAGCAGGAACAAAGGTTCAAATCTTCATAGAACACGTGAAGTTGGTATTCAGAAGTGGCATGAAGAGAAACAGAACACATTATAACATTATAAACGAGTACATGTATGGTTGGTCCTGAATATGTTAAATGGTAGTTTCTGCGAAACTGCCTTACATCACACAGGTCAATAATGTTACTGAAATAAACATAAGACATGATTACAGGAAGCATATTAAAGAAGTTGCCAAAATGGTTAAGTTATACAGTATGTCCCGAAAGCTGATACTGATAGTATAATGGCAATGCAAAAACGTCGCTCAACGCAAGAAATTGAAGTGTGGATGGTGGAGTGCACATAGTAAACACTTATATGTATATAGTAGATGCACAAGCGTCCATATTTTCTGCATCTGCGAAGGATGTTATGGACAGTCTGTACATGCACGAATTCCGTCCTTTGGGTTGCATTACATGCAGCCACGTGACAATATGTTTCCTAATATTGCTGTTTACGCAAATGATTTGCTTAACTGACTGATTTCCATTAAAGCAATGCTATATGCAGAGAGACAAGGGAGAATGTAGAAGCAGTTAGCTGCTGAACTGTTTGTACAAGTGTGTGAATGTATATACTTGTCAGAGTCTGAGAGGAGTTGACTGAAGAGCAAAATGGCGTGACATGAGAAAGTGAAAGACAAAGTGAATTATGATATTTGCTCAGGCTTATTTGTCTAATAAGATAGAAGATATGTAAATACTGTAAAAAGAACATTGTATCCTATTTTGAATTGTTTCATTTTGGTCCGTTACACTATCAATCACCAACTACCAATAGAACCTCCGTCGAGTGTAACAATATATATTCTTGTCACCATTTCCTCACATTTGCCTTACATGTTTCGGCTCACAAAGAGCCATCATCAGAGGCATCCACAACAAAAATATGGAAACACTTGCACTGCTCAACAATCACAATATACAGTTTTTTGTGGAAGATGTTACACGTATCGGAGCGTAAAACACAACAACATCTAGTACCCCGAGTGCGGGTATCCCACTTGCATTTAAAAAATCACCCACAAAGCGGGTCGTTAATGTTAAAATTAAAGTTAAAACCGTCCAAGTANTCGGGGTACTAGATGTTGTTGTGTTTTACGCTCCGATACGTGTAACATCTTCCACAAAAAACTGTATATTGTGATTGTTGAGCAGTGCAAGTGTTTCCATATTTTTGTTGTGGATGCCTCTGATGATGGCTCTTTGTGAGCCGAAACATGTAAGGCAAATGTGAGGAAATGGTGACAAGAATATATATTGTTACACTCGACGGAGGTCCTATTGGTAGTTGGTAACATTGTATCCTGTTGCTTTTTAATATGTCTTGTTAACAATTTTTAAAATGACTTACTTAATATTTCAAATTAAGTAGTAGTTCTCCATAGGCAGATGTACTTAAAGTGTGACACAGTGAATCTGGTTTCATGCATTATGAAGGCCAACCTTTTGGGATGAGACCAGACACAACATGTCTGAATGATTCTCTGCCCTTGGGTGGTCATGCCTCACTGAGCGTTTCACTGTTGCTACATGCAGATGGCCCTGCTGCAGATTACTGCTGGACTGAACTCTTTTGTAAGACTGTGCTTAGTGCTCTGACCTCTGGGGCACAGTTTACTTGTCACAGACTGCTGAAGCTGCCATTATTAAGATTTGTAGCCTTTGCTGGCAGAGTGTTGCAGTGTTGCAGCATTCCTTTCTGGTGGGTCAGCTCACCAAGCATTGTTTTTTTTTTTCTAATACTATAGCTCTACAATTAAAGTGCAGTCACTAACAACCCTTTGGGAACACATGATTTAAAATCCCGTTTCCAGATAAGCTGTTACTCTTGAGTTAAAGTCTGGCTGCCAACCCCCTTAGAATCCCCTATTCCTTGATGATAAAGTTAACCAATTTACTGCAAAGTCTTCAAACATAATGAAGAGCCCTATCTTCTGGGAGGGGCTATGCTGTAGCATAGTTGATTTAGGCACTATGCTACAACCTGGAAGGCCACAGGTTCAATTCCTGTTGAAGTCATTGGATTTCTCAATTGACCTAATCCTTCCAGCTTCACCATGGCCCTAAGGTTGACTCAGCCTCTAACAGAAATGAATACCAGGAATCTTCCTGGAGGTAAAGGGAGGCCAGCTGGCACGTAAGGCTGACAACCTCACTGCCATCTCTGAGCCAATTGTCTAGATAATGTGTGAGCCTCGATGTCTCACAAAACTATGGGCCTCCATGGCCTTTTACAGGGATAGCTTTACCTTTTTGTATCTTCTGGGATATAACGTTGTGTAGTTCATTGAAAGTCAAATGCCAATTCGGAGGAACATGTCACCTCCATCTTCAGTGTTGAAGTATAAGCCAAGCAAGAAACCAGCATGAAAGCAGTTGGCAAGGGCTCTGCATGCCACCGGCATTCACAGTGGGTTTTCTTGCATGGCTGAGTCTTTGGCCCTGAAGACGAAGACAACTTGTTCCTCTGAAATGTCGATTGACTTTCAGCAGACTACATGGTGTTATATCCCAAAAGACAGAAATCTTCACAACCACTGCTGTGAGAACCTCAAATCCTGTGCCTTGAAAATAATTAGTGTAGGAAATGCTGAAATGTTTAATCTAAAAAAATGTGTTGGAGAGAGAACCACAATTAATGAGTTAGGGATAGGAATGTTTCTTGCCCTTACATATTATTTCAGCACATTAACACATGCCTGAGCCTGTACTCTAGCTAAACATATCTCAGTAGAGTAAAACTTATTTTAGGGAAAAAAAAGGCCAAGAATGAACACTCTTTTTAGCAAATGATAAAATTAACCTGCACTGTAAGAATTAGTCCAGATTTAATTGGTTCTGCAATATATTGCATCTTTTCTGAGGCACAGACAGGCTTGTAACAGTCAGTGACATATCACAACCCTGGTGCTTCCAGGGACAGTGCTGGAACACTGCACAATGAAGGTAAGGTCTCATTGAAGCAAGGGAGGTTACAAGCTGCTCCATTATGAGAGTCATGCTGCAGTACAGTTCTGGGACACATCACATTGAACTTTAACATTTAGGCTAGTAGAATGTGTATCAAATGTATGTTATACTTGTAAGACCAAGAAAGGACAAATTTTGTAAGCTGGTCACAGTTGATATTTCTTTGAATTGTGTTGTGTTGGCAGGATTGTCATATATTGTCCAAAACTTCTTCACGCCTCCCCCCACGCTATGATGTTAGAGCTGGATAAAATCTGTTTTGGACATTGTCATACCCTTGATGATGGCAACATTTATATAAATTATGTAACTGATATGACTTCACTACCTTGATCTTTGTAAGGTTATATCATTATGAAGTGTTCCCTTGGATCCAAAGATGATCTTGGTCTGTTCATCACTTTTTGGTTGTTCAAAATCATGTCACCATGGGTCAGTAACACAATGTCAGTTGTGCAAGGTGGTCTGTTTCCATTCTTACCAAAAGACTTTTGCAGTTCTGTTGGTATTCTGCTGCTGCATATGCAGTTTTAAATCATATTTTTTTGTATAAAGTAATAACAGAATAAGGTAATATGGACACGTTTTAAGAATGAAAGAAGAGTGTATCCCGTAGATTCAAACAGAAAAATAAAAGAAAAACACCGAACAGGAAGACCAAGATCAAGATGGGAATAGTGTATGAAAGCTATCACACAGAAGGAAGGAAGGAAGGAACATGGGAAGAAACTGAGGAAGATCAGGAGGGTTGGTTGTTGTGTGACCCATGTAAAGTGGAAGGACCAAGAAAAAAAAAGAGAAGATATTTGTTTACTGATTCCATTTTCTTTGACGCTAAAAAAGTAATCTCTGCTGACACACGCCAATCTAATAATTAAATTAACTGTGACATATCAGATAACGTTATCAGTCATCTATTGTGCCCCCTTTTAAGGAAGTTGAGACAATGTGTTAGCTGTTGAGGCACATCACACATCCCCAGCTCAGTGAAGATACATATATGAGCATTGGAGGAATGACTGAGAGAGAAAAATTGAAATATTCCAAGGCATGTGTGCCACTGTACCACTTTGTAAAATAAAAATTCCACATGGACTTCCCTAGAAATGAACCAAGGCTTCCATGAACAAAAAAAAGACGTGTCTTAATTGCATTGGCTACAGAATGGCTTGTTTATTGATTTTTTATTATACTTATCTCACATGTGTCATTAGGGTACATAAACGTGAACTGTGCTCAAGAGAATGATACACACTACTTTAACATCACTTTTTAAGCTAATGAGTGCATCTTTGGGCCTTTCTAGTTGCCTGGCATCATGATACATTTGTTGTTACTTACCTCTGTGTACAGAGAGGTTAGATGATAATTTTAAGGAACTGAGAGTAGTCTGTATATGTTACATGTGCCTTGCTCATGTAGTGCCCTTTGTAAGGCAGCTTTGTATGCAATTAAATACAAGCATACAATTAGTAAGTTAGTATGTCTGCTTGTGTGTGAATGTGGGTATGTCTTGCAAGTACTTTCTGTATGACACTAGTCGGCAAATACACTCCGGCTCTTGCCCTGTTTGATATTCTGGAATAACTCTTCATTAGTCATTGAAATGTGTTAACCCTCCAGTTTTTAACAGTGTACACAGAAAATAGCGTTGCATGTTGTTATAAAACAAAATTGTTAGTATATTTTGCCTTGCAATTTTAAGTAATTTGACTTAAAATCATACAGATACACACAAGTTGTCTTAGAAGTTTGTTTGCTTAGGCATTCTGAAATTTCTAACCCTTCCACTGTCAGTTAAATAGAAGCATGTTCCCTGTATATTACCTAAGTGGATATTTATTAATGATTTTACCCTTTTCTATCTGTGGAAATTCTCATTTCCTGTTATGTTAGATTCCATGCCTGAAAGTGACAGGATGTCTGATGTGTAATATCCTATGGTAATACTGCTGTTCACTCACATGTCTTGTGTCACCATTGTCATTCCTTGCACATGCTAAGAAATATCTAAAATTCATATTTTTATAATAAGAACTTTTCTTTTACGTTGTCTTTTTGATGTAAGCCTGTTCCATCTTAGTATCTTACTGACCTAACAGAAAATAAATTAAAATCATTTTCCCTAACAAATACATGTAATTTACTTTCAAATCCATTTGAAACCTTTTTTTTTTCCCCCCCCCCACTCTCGAATATCCCATAATCGTGTCAGTTACAGACCATTTATATCTCTCAGAATCTGCAGTACTGCATTAAGTATATATTGCAAGTCTTCTATAACCTGATTGTAGTGGGGTCATGGAAAGAAGTCCTGTGTATCAACCCCCTCCACATCTCCCTATATTCCTCTCTGGTCATCTAGCCATTCTGCTCAAAGCAATGTTGGTAATGATAACCTATATTTGTAACAAGTGGCTTGGTCTTGTTCACACAGGACAAAGGGGGTTGCTAGTGAATCTTTACTACAGGTGCCTTTGTTTACATGTGTGTGTGCGTGTGAACGCACTAAGAGATGACTGTTAACTCGATTAAGTAATTCCATGTTCATTATTTGGGCAGACCAGAGATGTACATCCAATGATTACTATTGTCATGAAGTGACTGTGTGTTGCATTTTATGTAACAGAACTGTACATTATTCATTACTGATACAAGTAGTGCCAACATGACATGTATTTTTCTTTAATGTGAACTGTATAAATGTAGTGATGATTGCTGTGCACTTCCTATAACTAATAACAGGTGAAGGGATCGTAAAAAAAGTTCCCCCCCCCAAATGTTTTGGTCCAGTTTTTGTGTCATGTACATACAGTTTTCACCTATGGGTTTAAATACTTTGTAAATGATTATTTTTCATAACTGTCTAAGAAATTTAAGAATCCTGTACATACAGTATTGTCAGTCGTATATTTTAATAAACATTAACGCTGTTCTGTAATATTGATTGAGTATCTGCTCATTTCCTGTATCTCATTTCTGCCTTCAGCGTCTGGCCACATTGCATATATAACTTCTAACATTCTACTCGTAGCAAATAACGCAGGCTTGATCTTCTGGGTTTCAGAATGACACAGCTAAACCCTAAGGAAGCTGAAAGGAAACAGTGAGGTGTCTGGGCAGAGGTCTTGCCACAGCTTCCTGAAGAAGGGTTCAGTTTTGGCTCTGCTTCTATGCACACAGCTTGCAGTTCTCGTAATAATTTATTTAATTTTTGCCAGACTTAGTTAGTTAGTTATTGGAGAGGGTGGGTTTCCCCATGCACTGAGACCTGTATTGGTCCATTGTGCTTCCCTCTATGATTTCTACCAGTCTCTATATCCTACCGGTACTGGTGCTTACCATCAGTCTCGCCCAGCCAGCGAGACCGGCTCTACTAGCTGAGAGGTATCTATAATGCTTCCCCCATCTACCAGAGGTATTAGAGACTGCTGTTGGGCGGGAAACGTCCGTTAATTTGGCTCAGTGACCTCCTTTGGAGATATGAGGTTCTTTTACGTGCCGTAAAGCTACGACACGGGACCCACGGCTTAAAGTCCCTCCCGGAGGACTTGTTCCCTGAATTTTTCCGCCCTTAAAAATTCGACAACCTCCGCCGGGTATTTGAACCCACGTACTACGAGTCATGAGGTGGGAACATTACCTCTAGATTATGGAGGCTGCTTTTGCCAGACTTACTTCATCATTACATCCATCTGGAAAACAAGTGTTACAAGTACTGTGTTTACATTACATTAATCTTTGTATCTTGGCAACACAGATAAACCAAGGGGACTTCCAGTTAAATAAGTTCAGTGTCTGCGACGAGTACGATCCTCTGGGTTGTAATGCCACGTACTTCAGCAGATCAATGGCATCTCAGTAATATAATCAGTGCATTTCTACCAAACCACATGGCATTACAACCGTGAAGTTGTTCTGTTCAAGTTTCAGTACACTTTAGTACCAGATTTTGTCAAAATCTGTTGAATTCCAGCTGAGTTTTATTGTGTGGAACAATGGACAGGATCATTATACATGCCACATCTCAATCCAGACAACTGATGTGCAGGAATGTATGAAGACTGCTTCATGAGGTGTAGTCCAGTACAAGACTACAAACGTTTTGGACTAATATAACCTCAAACCAGCCCTCATGAAGTCACATTCCATTGGCAGAGCACTGTGACTTCTCAAAGATACCAGCATAAAAGCAAAGCTATCCCTGTGACAGGCCATGAAGGCCCATATGGTTGTGAGACGTTGAGGGTCCCACATTATCTAGACAATCGGCTCCAAGATGGCGGTAAGGTTGTCAGCCTTACACGCCGGCTGCGCTTTACTCCCCAGGAAAATTATTTAATTCCTGGTTCTCATTTCTGTTAGAGGCTGAGTGAACCCCAGGGTCATAGTGTGGCCGGAAGGATTAGGGCAACTGAAAAAAAAATCCAATGACCTCATCGGTATTTGAAACCTTGACCTTCTGACTTTTAGCATACTAATTAAAATATTTCAAGCCAAATGCTTTAGAATGACAAACACCTCACACAGGATTAGTCCATTAGTTGAACATACCGGCTTTCAGCCATAGAATTTCACAGCCATCAAAAGATCCGACATAACCGTAACTAGTGGCTGTCTCCAGACGTTGTATTCCAACTAGTTACTATTTCCTACCTCAAGAATCTCAGAATCATGTGCTGGATAATACTTGTGCAGTAGGTGGGAGCTGAGACAGAGCTGTGATAGGCCACAGGCTGAATGGACAAGGAACACGGGTTCAATCCACATACTGTCCAGACCAGGTCTGAGGCCCACACAGCTCCTTATGCACTGGGGGATAAACTGGCCAGGACATGAAGCTGACAGCTCATCTTTACCTCATACATCTTCATAGCATACTGTTTAATTTAGCACAGGTATAATTTCAGAACATACAGGTAATACAGCATTAAATGTAGAATATAATATAATTACAATACACACAATAACATATTTGTCAGAGCTTGTTATACTCAGAAGTGAATGGAATTTTAAATAAAAATAGTGTGACATGTTGCGCAAAGGAGAACCCCCCCCACCAGCAGTGACGCGGCGGGTGAGTCAGCGCTGCCCTCCCCCTCCTCTGCACGGTAACGTAACGGTGATGCAACTGGATTGTTACGGTAGTAACAGCGGTTACTTCCGCTAGCGTTACTAGCAACACAGCGCCAGGCAACAAGGGTGCCTATTACGTGGCCGTATTGTCCGATCAAGGCTACATAAAGAGCAGCGAAGGCTATTCACAGTCAGTTGTACTGTAACAGTCAGCCAGTCAGTGCGTTACCAACGAGTTCTCAGTTCGCAAGTTACGAGCTACAGACGCGTGTGCGATAACCAGTGATCACCAGTTATATTTGGAGTGCGTAATTCAGGGAGACTTGTATAGCTCCCGCGTTATTAATACGTGAAGACTCTTGAAGAGAGTGTTAAGAGATTTTGTTGTAGGGTTTGTAAAGTGTAGAAACCCGTAACATTGTGATAATTAAGTGTAGCTGTTATTTGAAGATTGTTAAATACACCAATTAACCATCTCTATGGCGTCTTCAGTAACGAAACACGTTACAATACAAAAGCATTTCTGAAGGTCCAACCTAGATCAAATCAAGTAAGTATCATTGTTCATGAATGTGTGTCACTTCTCCAATCCTCTTCATCAATCTGCTTCCTTTCGGGGCAGCGCAGCAATTTCAAGCCTGGTTACTGTATCTTCAAACTGCACAAATGACTTAGTGATATTCACAATAATTGTGTTGTACTGCTGAAGTAAGTCCATTGTGTTTGCTGTAGTGGCATCAGCCTCTTGCTTTCTGTCCAAATAAAACAAGGTCAGCTTCTCAAGTCGATCTGTCAGACTCGGAACGTTCTTGATGGCCTCGCTGTCCAACACTGATGCCAGTTTCTGAATCTGGTAGAGTGCTTTTGCATTTTGCTGCAGGAGAGGTTCCATTACAAGCACCTCTTCCATTTTGGCTGACAAATCTACTGCCTTATCTTCAACAGCAGGGTCAAGTAATTTGTCTAGCTCAGCCAGTCTCCGCATGAACATTGACACAGCTTCCCTCCCTACCAGTGAAGCATTTATCAAGGCATTTGTATTTATGAGAGAATCGGTTATAGGAATTATATTTTCTGTTGACTGATGATTTCCAAGAATTCGTTTCTCCAGTTCCTCAATCCTTGTGTCTATCAAATCAATCTCCTTCTGTTCATTTTGGGTTAACAGCATCTTGACCCTGGTTAAGAAAATAATATCAATACATTATTATCCAAACAAGCAGTCAGTAGGCTACCATGGTGAACCAGAATCTATTATTCTTTTTACCTCTTTAGGCAAGCTTAAATCCCATTCAATAAGTTACCCCATATGAGATAGACAGAGGGTCTTGGCATTCCTGTTAATTTGATTTATTAATGTTCTTATGTGTAATAAGTTACCAATTACAAAAATTAACATGACTTTCAGGTATGTCTGAGTAGTAGACTGTGCCACAGCTTAAGCAGTTAGTCGCTGATTTCCCACCGCAGGCGGCCCAGGTTCGATACCGGGTCTGGTCAAGTGGGAGTGTGGTGGACAAAGTGACGCTGGGGCGGGTTTCCTCCGAGTACTTAGGTTTCCCCTGCCAATCTTTATTCCACCAAATTCTCCATCATCATAATCGCCCAGGGCAGGCTACAATAGGCCAATCAGTGGCCGCCGTGCCGAGTGGACCCAGTTGGACTCCACCCACCACTAAGCGAATTAAAAAAAAACTGTCTGAGTAGTAACCTTTCGAATTCCAGAAGAAGTTAGATTACATAACCTTGAATTAAGCACAAATTGCTTCGTTCCGAAAAGCGATAATTAGCCAAATGCACTAAAGACAAATTATGCAACAGTACCTAACAGTCCTATATTCGAATCCACGATATACCTGTGCAGTCACAATGAAACAGTAGATATACCATTTCGTCATGCTGAAGCAACAAAATACTAAGTAACCCCTTAACATTTTTACAAATAAAAAAAAACACGGCCAAAATTTAATACTTGAATATTACAAAAAAACAATATGCATTACCTTGTTACAGTAAAGAGATGACACTCAAAGTGAAAATATTACAAAACCGCCCCTGAACAAATTGCCTTTCGATTCCAATACGTTGTGTAATGGAACTGGCTTGATAGGGTAACTGTCGAAACAGCTTCTTAGCGAACAGTTAGCCTTTCTTCACTGTCTTTTACTTTTAGGTGATAATGATACTTGAGGGTCTTTATCCGCTTCTATTTTATTTATAATATATGTTGATATACCTACTTCACTACACCAAACCCCACTTTCCCATGACTAAAAATTACCATACTTAAACACAAAATTCCCATCCCCAGGAATGCCAACGTCCAAGAGAGAAGTCACTAAATATAAGCTTGAAATTCCCCAGAAACTCACCAGACCTTTCACTTCATTGATACAGGTAATACATATTGATAATGACAACAAGAGTATACTTCCAAATTTGTAGCAGGCAATTTTTCTACACAATAATACTAATAAAATAATAAATATTTGATAGCTTCAAATGCATAACGTATCTTGTGCCTCTTGTAAATTTTGTCAACCTTGTCCTCTTCCTTCTTTCAAATATGTAATTTTCACCCTGGTCTCCAGAAGCTCATGCTGTGTGTGTATGATTGCAGGATTCCAACTTTTTTTGACCAAATCCTTAACAGCACCGCCAGAAAATTTTGTTACAGATATATATCATTGTTTTCATCTCTGAGGAAGCTGTACTACCAGCGGTTAGTCGCTGGCTTCCCACCGTGTCGGCCCGGGTTCGATCCCGATTCTGGTCAAGTGGGATTTGTGGTGGACAAAGTGGCGCTTGGGCGTGTTTTCTCCGAGTACTTCGGTTTCCCCTGTCAATCTTCATTGCATCAAATTATCCAGCAACATAATCACCCGGGGCAGGCTACAATAGGCTAATCACTGGCCGCCGTGCCGAGTGGACCCAGTTTGACTCCACCCCCACTAAGCGAATTAAAAAATAAAGCTCTACTACCTACTGCCTACATCTTCTAGAAGTTGTTCTTCAAAATGTGGCCCAAAAATATTACGTCCATTTGCAATGCACTACGTTCCGCGCAACTTCATGTCACAAGTTCCCTTACTGTCCGGGAATCACGACTTACATAAATCCGAAAAATGGAAAGTAACGTGTAATGAACAATGTTGAGCAATAACAATTCCTACAATTATTGTGTTTCTGGAAATTATCCATCATCGTATTATTTTAAACACACAATATTTCGGAGACTGCATTCCGTCTCCATCCTCAGGTAAAAGCCAACTCAGTTGAGCCCAATTGATAGAGCTAGTCGTGCCTGTGCCGGGAATCAAACCTCAATTCCTCGTTTGCCCGTTCCATAGCATGTCGCTATACCGACTGAGCTATGTACCCAGCGTTTACTCAAGTGGCCAGTAGATGGCAGGTCATGACGCATGTTCATCGATTTATATTCCGACCATGAATTTATCGACCGCTAAATATAACTCCACGTTCGAGTTCGAGACCACAAGTTCGTTCTGCTGTCTGGTGGCGGCTTGTTGCTTACGTGAAGTGCTTTCGGTGTTTGTTCGTCCGCCGGCCGGAAGTATTACACCGTAAATTTTACAAAGGTAAGCAAATCGAATCGTGCTTGCGTCTGTAGCTTCTAGTGCATGAAAGAATGGGGAAGTGATTAGTAATTGATTATATGTCGCGATGTTATGATGTATATTGTATTTTGGCTATGGTGGCGGTAAAAGGATTGTGGCATCGTTAGTTCCTTCCTGTATGCAGCCCACGTGTTTCGCAGCTTTCAGTTGATCAATATTGTGTCCTCAGCGTTGTGACATTACGAAATACTTACGATACGAATTTTTGTATAAGGTGTCGTGTAAAATCAGCATGCTAAAGTGACACAAATGCAGTTAAAATCTATACAGTTCTCTGGATTGCACGTAACGTTGTGTTATGATTTTTATGTTTATGTGTAGGTCAGCAATGGGAACCTAGAAATATTGGCGCGCACATCACTGTAATCGTGAACAGGGCATTATATGCCATCGCAGTGTCGGACAGTATGAAATTTGGTCTAGCGAGGAATTCTGAATGCGGTACAAAAAAAAAAAAAAAGATGGAGGCTAACAAGCCACTGGGGAAACAATAAATCGTTGGCGATGAAAGTGGGACCAAGATTTTCTTCTTTCGTGTGATATTTCGTATTCTCTGACTTCGTTGAGGTACGGTTGGGTCTATTTTCGTTGCGTAGAAATATCGTAGTCTGCTGGCAACATGACGTTACCCATAAATGTTAATTTTGTGTGGTTTTTTAACGATCCGCAGGAGACATGGGTGTTTCATATTTATTATTAGCTGAGTTTGTGCCTTGTAGCTAGCAGATTTGTATGCCCATGCTTCTGGGTTCAGGTCTAACTCTGATTGCACATAATCTGACTTGGAGGGGGGGGGGTGCGTTTCGCAGAGGGTCGAAATAAGAATTTATATTCAGTGTGACAGGCTAAGAAATGCACCCTTGGCGTAACAGTTCTACGTCTTTAGCCCTGTTTTGTTTAATTGCCTAGAAAATCGTAAGGCAGAGAAAGTGTATTGGACATATCAAATATGCGTTTCGTTTTTGACCGAAGTAATTTTTGCTGCCATAGATATTAGCGATTTACGGCCCAGATGTGCCCAGAAACGCGTGTAGGCCTTTGTGTAAAATGCCCGTCATCGTCCGATTTTAACCGAAATTGGGATGCATCGACTTTTTTTTTGTAAAACGCCCCAATTATAGAATCTCATGAAAACCCCATCAGTGGTTTTGTAGTTGCTAAATGCGGATAGACATGGGGAAGTTAATGGGTGAGTTTTTGCAATTTTTGGTTGCGAATGCCCGAAAGATCGAGCCCAAATAGGGGGTAAGAAGCTCACAACCCACCTCCCTTTCGGCAGTTAGTAACGTGACCAGGAACTGCCTGATTGACCGACTGAACTCCAGGTACCGACGACTACTGTCCTGAGGTAAGAGCCTGTAACATAGATCGAATGCTTCGTGGTCCTATTAATTTTACAGTCTTCTATGTCAAGAGCCCGAAGAAAGCGATGTATTTAGTTTGATACGTGATTACCATCATCTTTGCCGTGAAGCTGGAGGCAGTATGTTGCTCCGAAACATCTGTCGGGTCGGCGTAGCGGCATTGCCGCAGACTCGTATCGGTGAGGTTCGAATTCTCCCTGGGACATCTAACACGTTTCTCGATTATGGCACGACTTCCTTCCCAATCCTTTCCAGTTCATCTGTCACTCAACTACTCGACGCTGTTGCAGTATAGTTTAGGGCCTGACAGCGTCATAAAATAACCGACAGAGCAATAAATACTCCAAAACGTTGATATCCACCTGCCAGACTACTCGGTGTTATAGCCCAGAAGGCAGTGCTACGTGATTGATTGACTATGGACGGGGTTTGGGTAGGTAATCGGATTTATTGCACTCTTGCAGAACGTAACTACAAATAACTACTGCAGTCTCACTGGTTACACACTCCAAAGATCACTGTAACTACAGCATATACAAAGTCTGCTCAGTCTTCATTAGCCGTTGCTTGGTAGCGGCTTCCAACGGCGGTTCCACATCCTCTGAGTTCCTGAACTGTCCACGGCCTCAACTACCAGCTTCTCAGCTGGCCCAGGAGACTTAACAACTCGAGTCAGTGTCAGTCAGAGTCAGAGCTGTAGTCATGGTTACTTTACGACTGGCGGTTTACTGCCAATCAGATCGTCTTGGTGCCAAGACCCTTGAGGTTCACGACCAAAGATTTTTTTGGCAAGTGAATCGTTGGAGCCATAGTCCTGACGTAACATCCCCTGTGACGAGGGGATGTGTTTGTCTCATGAATATACATCGTCTTTGTTAAGTGCACGCAGAGTTTAAGGCTCTTATATTTTCTACGTCGGGCATACATTCTCTTGATTTTGTATGACTTCTGCTTCTTGTCTGCACAATTTTGCCATATCATCGTATACGTCGTGTACCAATCGCGGACCGGTGTGCGCCTTGGAAAATTTTCAATGGTGGGGCGAACCTTGTTCTTACGTGTTCTTTCGTCGGGGAAACGTGTTGACAGAGCTGTTCCCTAGCAATGGCTGATGCATGTTTACACAGCTGTTACAGTGTTTAATCTCCTGTGACGTGAATGCCTCATATGTTACCAGCTTCACATACTTCACATAGCTTTGAAGGGTTCATTTAGACAAGGGTAACATATTTTCAGTGCCCCCCCCACACACACACACATTCTGTCCCTGATTCTGTGAGATTCATCCACGCAGTTCGCCATTAAGGCTCACAACCTCACCGCCATGTGTGAGCCGATTGTCATTAGAGAGCAAGGGTTTCGTCTAACCGTGCTTTACCGACCAGTGTAGCTGTGTTACGACCATAGTTCAGCAGTCGTGGGAAGCGCCTGCCTACAGTTCAGGACAGGTTTTGTGTCGCCGGGTTATTATTTTTGAAACCGTTAAGGCCACCAGTGGGTCGCGCCCCACCTGTTGAGGAACACTGGTCTGCAGACGTACTAAGTGTATATTATAGAATTATTATAGAATAATTGATAAGGCCATCAAATGTGATTCAATCTGTAGATATTTACTGCCCTTACATGTTGTGGTCAGATGTGACCAGTTTCAGGAACTGCTGTTACAAAGCTCATAATACATACTTAGAAGTTATTATATGAAAAGTTATTTACACTTATTTGCATTAAAATCTTATTAATGTCAAATATTTAAGATATTGAACTGATATGGTTCGTGTCCTTGTGCCTCCTCTGTTTGGGTATTGTTACGAGACCGCAGGGGCCCTCCCAGTTGTGCGCCCCCCCCCCAGCTTGTTACGGTCTAGGTGTTTTCTTTCTTCTGTGTTTTGTGTCTACTGTGTTTACTAGTGTGACGGACCAGAATGAATAAAGTTTAACCAGATAAGTTTAATTTGACCATTTGGAAGTGAAGTAAAAGTGGGTAAGGGTCTTCACATAAAAAGTTCAACGTGATTTATTTCTCAGACTTATTCAAGTTATTTTCGATTTGAGGTTCTCACTGGATACACTGTAGTGAATACGGTCTTGTGGGTAGTAACGCCACATAATGCGGAGAGAACCCGACGTTTCGGAAGAACATCATCGTCAGCATGCCTCATGCTAGCATCTTTTGTCACTTATAGTTTCAAGATGGTGGTGATATGTACCTCTGAAACGTCGGGCTGTCTGCGGACTGCACGGCGCTAAAAGCCACAAGACCGAACCCCCCCCTTCTCCTCTGGATGAAGTGGCGCAA